AAAATCAATGGACACCGCGAGCACACCTTTTCCATTACAAACCGGAAGAAAAAACTCTATAAATAAGGAAACGACAGGTAGTCTCACCGCCACAGAATATTGTCGACACAATGCTGAAGAAATGAGAAGTCCTGGAACGCAATTTCCCACTTCATAGAAAGCGTTCTGCGGGCAAAGAAGGAAGAAGGCTGTCTAGCGATAGCGTATAAGACGGAACAAATGAAGAAACATGCCATGCACGAAAGGCCCCAGCCTGAAGTAATGCGAAAGCGGTCCGCAGGCTGAGGCCAGAAGAAGAAACAGGTGGTTATTTTTAGTGAGGTCGCCTAGCAAGAGGTAATCCACAACTTTTGAGCAAACCGGGTCCCGCCTTCGCTTTTGAAGGTTTTTTTCCCCTGCGAAAAAAAAAAAAAAATATAATAATAATAATAATATAATAATAATAATAATAATAATAAATATATAATAATAATAATAATTAATATTTCCAAAAGAATTCATTGACAGTGTACAAAAAACCATCACCATAAAACAATAAAAAGAATACCAATTTGTTTGACTACTTTACATACATTATACATCCTGTTTAACCTTCCGTATAAATTCTGTGCCTTATAACAGTGTTAAATTTTAAAATTTAAAATTTAAATGTTAATATATTATTACATTTATTATATCTTATTCAGTACACTTTATAAACCTCTCTAAGTACTTTAGATATACTTGTCAGAGAGGGGTGTGTTACATTATACGCTCTTTTTGGTTCTGTTTTTTCTTTTTTGTCTTTTTTGTATTACCGTTTGTTGATTATAGTTCACGTCATCTCAGTACTGTTTGAATCGAATCTGTTTTTATGGAATTTTGGTTATTCCTAGATACCTCAGCAGCAGAAAGCAAATCAAAATAACGCATTATCTAGAAAAACAAATAAATGTAAATAAATAAAAGATATGTTCAGTTGGCCAACTGGTTAATATGAAAACTAAGTTATACTTAATAACCATTTTGAATAATTTGGCAGTGACTAATTAACACAGCAAGCGAAATAAAATTATATCTAAATTAACAATTCAGAACAAATAGAACTTCTCGTGGCAAAATGGCAGCTATGCATAAACTTGAGTAAATTATCCCCATTATTAAATCAATTGAAAATTAAAATAATTGGACTCAAAAACAACAATTAGACCATACCATTAACGAAACTGAATGGAGTAAAGGAGCACTTAATACAGTTTTACAAATTATTATCTTTGTTAACCGCTGTTTATAAGTATGAAAGATTTATAGTAAGTAAACAACATATAATTTATTAAGCAACATAAGATTCTTATAATGACAAAAAATCAAACAGGCAAAACAAAACAAATGATCCATTATCTCTAACCTAACAAATGGATTCATAAATAAATAAAAACTACCATGGCTGTTGGCAACCAGGCAAAAAAATGAGTTATTAAGATTACTTAATTAGCATGTGGAAGACTTCTAGTGACAAATGAAAAACAAAATATAGACACACAAACAAAGTGTGGCTATACAGAGATCAATTAACAAATGAACATAATTACTTGTTGACAAATTACAAAATATTATGTAAAATAAAAATAAAAATATAACAAAAACAAACAAAACAAAACTGAAACTGACTCAGAGTAAAGATAATTATTTTCAATTATCATCTGTGATAACCGAGTATACTAATATGAAGATTTAGTTATGTAACACCAACACAACATAAATTCACCAAAAAAATCTTGCAATTGACGAAACTTAACACCCGCAATAGAAATCAACAATCATCCACATTTAATTATCTAAACAACAATAATGTAAAGCAAAAAGAATAAATAACTAAATAAAACCAGCAACTGAAGAGTGTAACAGGAACATTAATACAATTTTACAAATTTGAATCTTGTGATGAGATAGTTTACTGTATCAAGTGAAGATTTAGTTGTACATAATTGACAGATAAAATCTTATCATGACAGTATAGCAGTTAATAACTTGGCATGAGAGTTATGTTTTAATTTAATTTACATCCTTACAAGCTTGTGATGAATATCCAAAAATATAAAAAAATTCCCTCCCTCCCAAAATAACATTATAGTTTTTTTAAATTACAAATAAATTGTTAAATAAGAACAAAATGGCCAATGGGCTACAAGCTAAGAGAGAACTCCTGAGCTATCTTATTTTCATGTTATGCCTAGTATCTTGTGTGTACCAATTCTTTTAATTTTTTTTCTTCAATTTCCCTTTTAGATGTAACTTCTAATATTTCATCCGGCATGAATTCAGCCAGTTTTGGAATGGCTGTGGTTTAAGCCCTCTCTCCAATTTTTTAATTAACAGTGTCTGAAGTATGAAATTGTGTTTTTTCCTAGTTTGTAAGCTGTGCCCCTGATTTTTTCTGAATTTTCATTGAAAAAGTTTTTTTTTGCAGAATTTGAAAATTATACAGTTTTTTAGCAGTCATGATCATGTCATTGCTACACGTCACTTCCAGGGTTAGGTTTGTTCTGCTTATTTTTCATTAAGGCTTTTAATGCATTTATTTTGCAGGTTCTGAATAATATCAACATGTTGGATTTTGCTGCAAGCTCCCCATAACCCATTCCATACCTGATCAGAGACTCATATAATGAGAAGTAAACCAATTTTGAAAATATTATAAGATATGAATCTTTAAATTCTCAATTAGTTTCCAAACACATGTTCTGCTTTTCTGCTATTCCAAGATGTGGTCCCTCCAGCTCAGATTTTGATGCAAAAGTTACACCTAAATACTTCAGTTTTGTTACAGAATTAATTATATAATTACATCGACGTTCTTCAAAGTCCTTTTGTGTATGCAGTCAACTTTGTGAAAGAATATTTTAACTTGTGCTCTTGCAATTTTTTTGGAGCTGTAATCATGCAGTATTCCTGGTCTTTTTCTTATTATTATTAAACTTTATCATGGCAGCGCATTTTTGAAATATTCGCAAATTTTCCTGTAACTCCCATTTCTTGCCCTTCTTTTTGGGTTCTCTGTTTAATAGATAAAAGCATCTTGTCATTCGCATACATATAAATAGGAACCATTTTGTTATGATAATTTTTTAAGTCGTTCACAATATTAGAATAAAGTATGGGCCTAGGCAACTTCCTTTGGCCAATTCCCTTTTCACAGTTTTTTATTTCACTATAAGTGTTATCAATTTTACCCTAAATGATCTTCCATCTAATAGTTTATTGAAATAACTGTAAAACATTGCTCTACACCCTACACTTTCCAGTGCATCAAACATCTTTTCATGGCTTAGTTACATCGTAGCCTTTGACCAAGTGATGCCTCAATGCCTATCACAATGCAATTCTTGTGTAATTTTTCATTTAATACATCTCCTAGATTTTCAATAGGTCTGTGGTGCTTTTGTTTTTTTGATATGCAAATTGATTTTTTTATGCTATTATTTTATATTTTTCCAAGATAAGTTGGGTCAGTCTTTGCGATATATATTTTTTTCAAATATTTTATCTTATTGTGTTTTAATAATGGAAATTGGGCCTATAGTTTTCAAATAGCTTGAAAGACTGTCTCTTTATGTATTGGGTCTGATAATGGATACTTTTAATTCATCTGGAAAAAGTTCCCTCATTAAATGCTAAGTTGATAATTTTTTGTATAATGGTGTTATTGAGTTTGCTGTTCATTTTTATATCTCTTATAGCTATTTGTCAATTCTGGAGCTTTTAATTACAGTCATCCCTTTAATTAAAGCACTAGTTTCCTCTAATGTTATTTCCAGGCAACGTAAAAAGAGTTACTTTGTGTTTTATACGTTTTTTGGGCAAGGACTGTTGGTTATTTATGTACAAATGTCTTCTGTTTGTTTGTTGATAAGTGATAGCAAATCTTTCTACTATTTGTTCGATTGAGTTTACTATTCCCTAAATTTTTTATATAACTTCATCTAAAGATTTTTTCTCTGGTACACCAGTAAAGTTTATTTATTGTTTCAAGTGTTTTTCATGTCATTTCTGCTGTTTTTCAAATAGTTTGTTATAAATATTCTTTCTTTTGCTGCCTGGATTTTTTTTGTTATGTCATTTCTGATATTTTTATAAATTAATTTCTTAGTGTATCTTTTAAATTCTTTATTTTTGACTGAAAAGTCCTTTTCCATTTTTTTTAAACACAAGTAATCTCTTTGTTTTGATCAGTTGATTGATAATCTGAGTTTATCCCATGTTTCAATATTAGCCTTTCTTCTGCTATTGTTAGATTCTTTAGAGACAACGCTTTATCATATAAAATTTTTTATTGGCTTTGTACAATTCATAGCTGTTAAGTTTTTGAAAGATTAAATTCATTTAAGTTCATTAGTTCTTTGTAGTTTACCTTTGTTTATAAATTCATATTTTTTTGTTACATTTTCAGGAAATATCTTTTTATTATTGTAATTACATTTCAAACTGATATGTTTCACAATTAAGCTCAAACTGACAATAGTCAAAACTTTCTGAACAGAAAAAGAAACTAGGCTGAATGCAAAGAAACCTGAACTATGAATGTATGTAAATAAAATTGCAGGGTCTGTCAGTGATTTTAGAATAATTGCCTTTTTTAAAAAGACATATGCTGTTGTGGATATAAAAAACAATTCAATTGTTTTTAGTAAGTTTGTCTGCCTATCTCGGGAAGAAGTATACTGATTTCAATGCTGGAATGGAAAGTGCATTCTATTCAATGAATTTAAAGGAAGTGTTTTGACGGGCATACCTTTGGATACTTTTCTCAAATTATTATTTTCTTTCATAAAATTGAAGAATGTTTCTTTCACACAAATCCAGTTTTAATATTTTCTTAATAAAATTTGGTGGATGTGACTTTCCAAAAGACAAAAATTATTGTCCACATGAATTTCACAAAAAGTATCCCTAATCATACCTTTCCTGACCCCTAAAGTAAAATTGAAATGTGCATTTTTTGTAAATATTCTGAAAAGGGTGAAGAAATGAACCAAAGAACATTAAATGTTTCTTAAAGCTCGTAAAATATTCTCTAAGTGCTTTATAATGCATTTCTGTAGCATTTTGAGTAATTTCAAGTCACAATTGTTACTGAAAGTTTGCCACAAGTATGGATCTGTTTACAGCTGCTCCTAGCAACAAAGGTGGTAAACAACTGTGATCATAGCACACTGGCAGGGTCGAGGTCAGGTGAGACACGGAAGAGTGAGAAACTGATGGGACAGAGCAGTGCAAAGCTGAGCAGGAATACATTATAAATATAATCAATTTCTTTTCCTCTCTGCAAGAAGATTGTGGTGAACAAATAGCAGGCAATACAGGGTACATCTGATAGTTATTAACGAAGACGTGAGAAGCTTAAAAATGCTGGAAAAACCACACATGATAAGGTCTCATTGCCTTCACTATTTATTATTTTAAATAAATATCAGATTAAATTTTTCTGTAGTAAATATGTTCTCTAAAAAAATATACAATACAATTGTGTGAAATATTATGCAAGTTTTGAGCAAAAATTCTAAATTAATGTCCATAGTTAACTTCATTATACTGAAATAGTAAAATACACTTTGGCATCAAATAAAGTTCCTACTTATAATTATTTGAAACTAATACAATGAACCTTTATCTTCTTTGTATAAGAAATAAATGCTGACACTGCCATGAGGTGTTACAACAATTTCTTCATGTTTAATGAGGATTGTTGCAGCCAAACCATATGCTAAACAGGGTAATCCTGTAACAAAATTGTTTTTTTTTTATTCTCCTAAGACATCTACATTTTCATACAAATTAAGGTTAAATATCCAAAAGGAATACCTAAGTTTATTACTTTTATTATCCTGAAAAATGTATCCTCAATTTGCAAATCAGCATATGGCCTACGTGTACAATGATATTTAATGTATGGAAAACAACCTGTTCTTAAGATATGATAATTACTTTGGCCAACAGGCCAATTGAAATGAGAAAGACCCCATTGGTCATCATAAATACTACTGTATTTAACAAAATATGATGTCCACGGAGGTTTCTGGCACTGGTTCAAATAGCAAGACAATACTTCAGAAGCAGTAGGTTTGTTAAGATTTTTGGCAGTTCGGAAATTCTTATGAACTCCCTTAGCACTCCATACACATCCCACAAACATTGTTTAAGATAATTAAGAATACTTTCTTAAAATGGTGTGGGAACAAAAGAATTATAATAGAATTTAAAAGGAAATTATATTCAATATGACAATATTTCTAAACCAATATCTTAAATCATTACACATGTAAGTAAAATTGGCTAAAAGATAACACAAATTTCAAAATAAGTCTCGATTGGATTCTATTTTGCCCAGTCAGTCCCAGTCCCGGCTATTGCAGATAGGCATTTCACACCTGGTACTGACCAGTCACCACCCAACCAGGGATGTACTCTTTGTTTTTGTTACTGACCACCCTGACCCACAGTGCACCACCCAGAGAGTACCACCGTCTAGTATACGGCGTATACTTCGGTTTGTATAATTTGGAGCATTATTTTAGGATGTATTTACACTTGACGTAAATCAGCTGTTCACGATTTTGTCCAATCGGGAGCTTGAACGTCCTCATAGTGACGTCACTGTAGAACTTTTAAGCTGCAGATTGGATGAAATAGCAACATCTGATTTACGTCAAGTGCACAACTATATAAATCGTACTTTTAAATAGGAACTATTTTCACGCGCCTTTCTCGGTCGTGCCGCTAGATGTCGCATGCTCGTGACCGTGTCAAGCAATGCGATGCGTCTAGGGCACCACTGAGAAAAATGGAAAATGCCGTGAGATCGTGAAGATAGCCTCTGACGCGCCACGTTATAAAAGCCTAAGTATATACTCAGGGTTTCATTACTTGGCTCTTGACGTAAATCATTGTCATGGTGTCATCTAATCGTGAGCTTGACCGTCATTATGGTGACGTCACTGTGGTATCGATTTTTCCATGGTATTTTCACCATAGTAAGGAGTTTGTACACTCCATGGTTTACCCTCAAACGGTAAAGCAATGGAAAACAGTATCGATATCTATGGTCAAATTGAGAAAACGTTTTTGCATGTTTAGGTCGAAAAAAAATAAAGGATAGTTATACTGCTATAGGTGGGTTCTTGTCGATCCGGAAAGCCGAAAGCGCTATAGTGTCGTGGCGATCTCGGGTCGAGGGACCGCAGGTTCGAATCCCGCCTCCGTCTATGCACGGCATAAGAACTTGGTCGAACAGACCTGACTTAGTGGTTGCGAAGAGCCACACTACCATCGTACTTAATGCAGCGGTCGCGGTGACATACAAGCGGCATCTGCGCGAGAGATACGAGGAAAAAGCAAACAAATATGTGTACTTTCGCGCGATGCTCTTGGCCCAGCGCTCGACCGAGTGGTGGAGCTTCACCTTGTGGTGGTGGTGGTGGGAGCCATCGACGAGTGGTGTGGTGACACTGACGCCACCTCAAAGAAGAAATTCGTCTCCGGCGACAAGCTTAAAAAATTACGTGAACGCATTGTCACTGAGGTCATTTCCGGTAGCGCAGCTTGTTATTACGCCCACATTGCACAGCCCTGGCGCCTTTTGACTGCCGGGCACGCGCAACCACGCGGCTTAACGCCCAGCGGCTGACCCATTCCCATCATACTCTGGCACTGTAAACTGCGACCCCGCCCTGAGGTGTACCGGCGACCACAACACCGGCCACCAGTGACACCATTCATAGTGCCTGTCAGGGCCTTTCAACTCCCATGTAACGTGGTGGAAACCGTTACAATGGAGCACTTCTGCAGCACCTTACAGGAATTAAAATACGAACTGCTGCCAACGATACTTAAAATGTGCGTGACTGCTGCGGAAGTTCGCGAGATTCAGCAGGCTCAGAATGTTACAAAAGATAGTGTCGATGTTCGCGTTTTCTTCAGAGGTTTATTATATGAATATATTATGAATAATTGTACATTTAAAAGACACTTTTCGTATTTCTCACAAATTAGCCAATTTTTATGTGCGGAAGTTGGCGAGCCTAACCTGCAGCTGTACTGAGACACTAGCGCGACATATCGTAGCACCCTCAGCTTTGTGTTTGTTTTTTTTTATGGAGAGTTGCAAGGCCGTGGTGCGTGTGAAAGAACAACGGTGCGTGTGCCCCTCCAGAAAGTTCTATAGTAGGTCGATAGTGAAGAGCGACGTGGGGTGTCAAAGGGAACAAATAAGTCCGCAATTGCATGTCACACCCTACAAGAGCCAATGGCAAGTCGAGGGAACAGATTATAAAGACCACGCCAATAGTGAAAGTGATGAAGAGTAATGTATAATAACATAATGTAAATATGTTAGAATTAAGCGTAAAGATAGAAATAGATTTAATTTTAAGATAAGTTAGATTTTAAGCATCCCCACTCCAATACATGTGTACCCAATATAAGTAATAAATTATATAAAAACGTATGTTTACGAGAACGTAAAAATGACATTTCACCCCTGACACCTAGTAATGAATGGTAACTGCATAGAGTAGAGTTATATCTCTACTCTATGGGTAACTGCGGGCATTTCGATTGTGGACGAAGTTTCCCCATCTTCAAGCTACAGTGAATATGAGAGAAAATAAAAAGTTAAAAATTAAACGAGAGTTTCCCAAACTAGTATTTATTTTGAATTTTTACACTATCAACACATTGCAGTTTCTTGTTTATAGAATGTTTTAAGAGTTAATTTTACTATTTTAATTATTTGTTGTAGAAGATGAATTTGCCCACAGGGTTTATACAAAAATTTGAAATAAAAACACTGAATCATATCACTAATTTGGAGGGTTTTTTTCTGCGCTTGATTTGAGACTGAGTCAATATATAATAAAACGGTAATAAATTAACTTAATATTACAAATAGTAGAACATTAGTAATTTAATTAGATTATTAGTATTAGAATTTGTTATTTATCTACTACGTTTAATGTATTATGACTAGCCCATAAAGAAGTTGAAATCTGAATTCAGATGAAATAAGCGTTTTTGCTAAGAATTGGCAAGAAAATATTCGCCAAGCATGAATCTGAAACTAATTGCAGTTTAACTATGCTGCGCTGGCAACAATGCATTGCTCGCATTTCTATAATTTTCTCTAAATGATGTAAGTTAAATCTATTCCTGTTTGTTTCATAATTAAAAGTAAGAAATTACTGTTGCTTCTGACTATCGAAATGAATACAGATTTTGCATCACTAGCGTTTTCTTTGAATTGGTTGAATTGGACAAATTCAAGTATTATACTCGCACGTTTTATTGAATCTCGGATTACCTACCCCACCCTTCTGCCAACATTGGTTGAATCAAGACAGTCTAAAATAATCCAGCTCTAGACTGCCTTGGTTGGATTAAGAATAAATGATAGCAACGAGTGTCGGAGAGAAAGTCTGATAACCTGAAATATTCACTCATAGAAACTATCTTACATCAAAAAACGAACTACAAATGTGGTATAAAACTCATTTTGTCAAAATAACCCACACCTCTCGCAACTAGCGAAGCGTGATCTCAAAAAACGTACGTGGATAATAATAGCCAAGGTGTTAGTTGCTCAGAAATTGCAATATGTTCCCAATAATACGAGAAAGAAAGTGTTGTTGTGACACCATTAGTTAGTTTAGAAGAAGTTACATTATTAATATATTATATGCTTTTTGGCCCAAGATAACAATACAATATACTTCGATTAAAATATGAAGTCCGTTGGCATTTGTTGTTGGATGACATGTCTTTTTATTGTGACCTTAATGAAAGAAAAATATATCTATTTTCTAACATTAAAGTATATCCCAGTTAGAGATGTTGAACTATATCATTTTCTGATTATTTTAATAAATAAGTAGCTTCTTTTGTACAAAATAGTGCAAAAGTCAGTTAGTTTGCATCTCGATTTCTGATCAGATAAATTGACCAGAGAATTGACACGGTATGTATACCAACAAATTCAAACTGATGTCTTTGTGGACCACAAACCACATGACTGACCTGAGAGTATATATCTGTGACTGACACGATTTATGAGTATATTTCTTCACTGAAAAACGCACATGTGTTCTATCTCTTTACAGGGAGAAAGACAATAAAAGAACATAAATATCACAGTTAAAGACCATTACTAAGACGTTAAGTCCACTGTGCATTTCATTGGAGAAAAAGAAAGAAAAAAAAAATAAAGAGGAAGAAAAAAACACACTCACACACACACACAGCAACAACCAAAAAACATTCATAATTACAACCACTTCAGTTACACTCTTTATCAACAGTCGTACACTTCGTACTATAATCACAATAGAACTGCGGATAGTAATTCTTTTAGTATAAAGTCATTTTAGTGAAATTTATTAAATTCATTACGGGCCGTCCATAAATTACGTAACGCAAGTTTGGAGTATTTTCAATACCCCTCTCGCCCTCGTAACGCATCCATTACGCACTCTTGAACCCCTACTCTGAATAATTACGTAACACTTGCGACAACACCCCCTCTTGTAAATGCGAGAAGTGAAAATAAATTATAGCACAGTAAATACAATTGGTATTTATTTTACTCGTGTTGTATACGAAGATAATTACAGTAGTAATTAGTTGCTGATGGCTGCTCCTAACAATGCGATTGGGGCAAGTTGTGGGTGTAGGAAGAATGAGCGAGATAAGTTGATCACAAGCTACGCATTCACCAACATGGACGATGCAAGAGCAAGAGACTAGAGCGCCGATTGGCGCCGATATAAATGGATTATAGAAAATACTTCATACAGGCTCGGATCCAAGGGGAGGAAATGAGAGAAATTTCCCTCCCCCTAATATTTCAGTAACTAATAATTTGAACTTGTCACAAAACTTCCAAGCAAAAATATTTTTCGGATAATCATTAAAACAAATAAAATCGAATCGTAGCATAAGCTGAGTGTATCCTGCGACGTTTTACAAAGTCTGTAATATACATATTAGACGAAAACATTTTGAATTTCCCCTCCCAAAATTCGTCTTAAATAGAGACGCCCCTCCCACTATTCGTCTCTTCACCCCTGCTTCATACAAGTTTTCAAAATTTTCTTCGTAATCTTAAAGGTTAAACAAATTTTGAAAAAATATTTTCATTTATTGTAATAATTTACAACTAATAACTTTAGTTTATGTTTTTAAAACAAATTAATTAGTAAATATTTTAATGTTTTAGTTCAGAACTCAAAAAAGGAATTAATTCAACAAATGCTGAAAAATGTAAAAAAATAAATGTCAATGTTACGTAACATTTAACTAGTACCCCTTTGTAATGCAGCGTACCGTTGCCTAAGACCCCTCCCTTCTTTGACGGTACGTAATTTATGGATGATCCCTTTGCATGCTGCTTATAGCATGATAAATGTGTCTTTTGAAATATAATTGCTACTAGTTTAAAATATATTACGTGCTGCAATAATTTCATATATTACAAATCCGATGTGCATACATGTAGTACTTTATTTATTTATCAAAATTCGCACATTATAATCGTTGCGATTCAGTCCAAAAAACACTCATTACCATTATTACGTAAGTTGTTATTACCTTTGTTTTTAAAAACAATCTAAAACCAATGCTTCCGTACTCTTCGTTCTCATTCCCGCATTTCATTGAGGGAAGGTTGGTTCGACTGAGTTACTACTTACTCTGAGCCCGGCATTGGTCGAGCGTAGTTCGAATTCGAATAAGGAAGCCGGTGTTGGCCGTTGGGTGCGAGTTTTCAGTGGTGAGCGCCTGTGGTGCTTGTTAATTTTTAGCGTATAAATATATTGTTTGAAATTATGGCACGAGACGATATCTACTACTCTCCTAAGTATTACGATGATACCTATGAATACAGGTAAGGATTATTATCATTATGACTTACATTAATGTACTCGGTGAATGTGAAAGCTCGTAATGCGAAATGTATTGTGATTGCAGGCATGTCGTCTTACCAAAAGAATTGGTCAAATTAGTCCCAAGAACTCACCTGATGTCGGAAGCAGAGTGGCGTCGAATTGGTGTACAGCAAAGCGAAGGTTGGGTACATTATATGACCCATCAACCAGGTAATTTATTTTGAGTTCTAAATTAATGTAGGGCATTCATAACAGTAGAATTGTTAATTCATGATTTTTTGCTAGTTGTAAATTCGTGTAACTGATCTAATCATGTGATGGACTGCTATAGGTTGATAGCAAAATGTGTAGTGTACCGTTGTCGACCAAAGAAGATTAGATGCGCACGAGTTGCACTGATTAATTTCATGCTACTGCTGGTGTGTTCAATACATCACTATGAATGGAATTTTTTCTGTATTACAAGAGTTTTAGAAAAGCAGATGAAATGCTTTTCTTATAAGATTTGAATTTACATTCTTGGTTTGCATCTATGTTTGCTATAGTTTTCAGCACTCCATTGTAACGATTAGCTTTGCATTGCGAGTTTCCTTCATACAGAATGCATGCATGACGACTGCATTTGTTTTAGAATGTGGGTGTAGTGATAACTCTTGAGAAAGCTGTGTACTCATCAGATAATTAACCCTCTACATACACATGGGTTCACAGGAACCTGGCTGATATTAATATAGTATAAGCCATTTCAATTATTTTGTGATGAGATTCGTAAAGTCTTGTGTAAATGAAGTTAGTTTTTGTACCTATGTGAAACAATTGTCATCGGGTGTTTAGAGCAGGCAATGGTTGTAGGAAGGTGCTGTGTGGATTCTAAATATTTTTGTGCCATAACTTTTTCTTTTTTGGAGAATTTTGATAGTGTAACCATGTTATAACACGTTCCTCTCTGGTATGTGATGTAGTAATCTAAATAAGCAAGCTTTATTCATTTTCTTATTATGTTACAAATTACGCCTTTACCCAAAACGTTTTTGTGATGGGTAGTAAAACATAAGTACAAATTTCTACGGAGATATTCAACAAATGGTTGAATATTAAGAAAAAAATAATTTCCAAAACTAATAAATAATGAATGTGGGCATAAATCCTCGAAATAATTGGGGATTTCTCTCATTCCAGTATGTACCTAATGTGAGAAAAAACAAGTGTATTCGTGGGTTAAGAAGAAAGTCATTTGAAATTTATGAATGAAATTGTTATTGATATTCCAAGTATTTTGAAAGTTGTATATTGTTGAAATGTGTAATACAAATATTGTGTAATTGGATATGAATGTGGGACATTTTGTCATCAACATTTTTTACAGTTGAAGAGAAAGAAAAAAATATCTAGATATATTTTAGACTTAACTTCTGATTCATTTAAGACAGTTACTTCAGTTAGAAGTGAAGCTTTTATTGCAAGTCATCGAATTCCTGGAGATTGTTTTTCTTTAATGGTAAACATCAAAGTAAGTGATAATCATAAACAAATTGAGAACAGGAAAAAGAGTAGTTAGGAATTGGTCATTTGTACAGTATACAATAAATTTTGTACATAATCAGATGTTAATAATAAATGAACAATTATATTCTGGCCTTAGTAGCTGAACTGTTGAATCATACTGTGAAGTTGTGATTAAGTTGGTTGAAACCTTAGAAGACCCAAATACTAACGGCACTAAGCACCTGGCAGAGAGGGATAGAAGGCAATGATGTGACAGAAAATTACTCTTGACTAGACTTACTGCCTTAAAGGAAAGTTACACTTTCTTCAATGTCAATTGAACTTGGTCAATTAATTCAATTCACCAAGTTCAATGAAAATTATTTCAGTTGTTAGAAGCAACAGCAAAAACAAATCGGTGATGTAGCCTCCAACATGTGAAGTGCATGCCGCAATGTGAAAGAAGTTACCATGGTTGTGTTCTCGAAATTAACAAATTAGTTGTCTTGTTTAGTATAGATCAGAATAAAGAAAATAATTAAAAAATGAAGGTAAAAATTTGAATTACTCCGATTTTTTAAAGTACCTTTTGACATTAGGTCATTGTTACACCTCCTGCCTTATAAAATGAATATTTTTAACAGTGGTAAGCACATTTGTGAGACCACAAGCCCTGTTCAGGATTAATCAATTAATTAAAAAAAGTTTTAAAACTGTTTAAAAATTTTCATTTCGATGTGATTTTACTAAACAAGAAAAGTGTAGGGTGCAGTGATTTGCTACTCTTCAGAGCAGAATGTGTTGATTGTGACTATTTTTGCTCGTCATTACATGTATCTCTGACTCGGTTTGCCACAGTCTACACACCGTCTTCACTTATTTTATGATACTTTACACTTGCACCCACTTTAAAACGAAAACCATGCACTGCCAATCTTGTCACCATATGTCGCAGTATCTTCAAGTTTAGGTGTGATTTGGGGATTGGCTGTAAAAAGTGTTTACCAAAGTGATGATGTGTAATATTTTTAACGTAGTATGTAAACAATGTCCATGTAATAAGTAAAGTGTAGAATTGAAGGTGTAATCTTTTGACAAGATCAGTGCTAGTGATTTTTCAGTACTTTCCATTATTTACATTTCATTTTGTTGCTATGTTCCTTTTTGTAAATTATTTGTATGTAATGAATTTTTGGTTTCTGGGTAGATACAACAAAACAGGATACCAATCGGTCAAAAGCTATTTTAACATCATTTGTTTTTTATCACACCTTAAAATTTAAAGTATGGTTGACGAATAGAATCCATTGCATGTCTAGTAACACAAGTGAAGTGGGAATGCCCGCTCAAAGGTTAAAATATTCATTCAATGATATAATAAAATTAGATAATATATCCAACAGCGTTAATTGATAAGTAGGTAATATTTTTGGCACAGTTATTCATCCTTGCTTACGATATTACCAAAATGCATAAATTAAAATACTTTGACCACTGATCACAAATAGCGACCTCCCCTTTTGCAAATATTTCTGATTTTACTAAATTATAGGCTCTCAGACAAAATTATACCACTTGCACATAGATCTAAAGGAATTAAATACTTCAAAACTTGTTCGTGGGAAAATGTTTCAAGAGTATAGATATGGAATAGTATTCAAAAACAATTTTGCAGAGCTAAATGCTCTCTTATCCTGATTTCAAAGAATTTTCCATTACAGATACATGCATTAAGAAATTTTCTTTCTTTTATAAGTAACCAACGATGAAAGATCCAGAATTTAGAAATTATCTTCTCCTTATCTCCATTCCAGTTTTATGATATTCCATATTTTATGAATCTATATCCCTAATTTATGAAATTAGTGTTATTTAATAATGCAATTTTATTTTAAAAAATTCCGTAGAACCTCTTTGAAGATTTGCTAAACATGCCTTTTTTAGCTTAATTGAAATGACTACAGAACAATAATTTGATTCCACTTTACAAATATTGGTAATTTGTGAGTTGTTTAGAGGCAGAACCACTTTCAAACACAGTTCTATCCCAATCAATGTTCAAAATATCATTTAATTTGAAATGTAGATGCTTTGATAATGATTCAAGCTTTCAAAGTACTGTAGTTTCTATTCTAGTATGCTCTGCTGTGAGCTTGTCTTGTGTACTGCACTGTAAAATATGGTAGTGCTTTTGTTTTAGACCTATTTACGCTTCTCGTTTCGGATCATTTTCCATATCCATTATTCGTTGTAGTAGAATGTTGCAAGAACACGGAATTCCAGTAGGTCTTTTGAAGTAAATTTGGAGAAACAGTTGGCAAGCACTTCAACTTTATTGAAAACAACCTCGTTGAACACAAAGAACCTAGAAGGTATAAAAATTGTTTTCATTCCAACGACATCAGTTTCAAAGAATGCACGCGAGATCGTCACCTCGCGTCTGTTGCGTAACTCTCGCGCCGTCGCGTTCTGTATCACAGCACGATCTGGCGCGGGACGCACCGGAGCCATGACTACTTCAGTCAAAACTTCACCTAGCATTGTATTCCAAATTTTCATTTTGAGCCATCGATTAGATTGTCGGCCAGAACCCAGATTTCGCTTCTTAACGCAATGAAACACCACATGGTTGTCTAGTTCAAATAGTCGCCGCCCCCCCCCCTCTTACGATATAACACATTCACCATTTGATTTTACTAATTTAAAAATATTGGGGCTATTTGTGGAATTAAGAGATATTACTGTGGTAATTTAATGACATTAGTGTTATTATTTATCTTTTATCAGAAGTAGTCGGAAATTACTGTAAAATGATTTAAGAGATCATTACTTATCTTCAATTTTATTAATTTATACTTTTGCTAATATTTTCATTGATTATTAATTATGCAAATCGATTAGCCACGGTGGTAATGCAGTCTAACAAAATAATTTTTCTTTCTCGCTTCTGCTTACGCAATATAGAGAAAATATTGTAATGCTGCGGGGAACCCGAGTTTTCGACAGAATAACATACTTCCGGGCCCTGGTAACGAAAAAATTGATAAATCTTGGCCTCGTGTACAGTTGCTCCCTTTAACACGTGAAGTCAGAATCCATGTTTCGTGGGCATTGTTACCCCCAAATCCCATGCACACCAAAACGTCTGTCCGTCCGCGCCTCGTAAACGAATAACATTAGTACCAGTTACTAGAATTGTTTTCAACGGAAACAAGGTTTGGGGTCCTCCGGTACCGAAGTTTTTTTTAAAAACTTTCCTTATACGTATATACGGAGTAATAAACGTAGTGTAGGGAAAGTTATGTGATGCTGCGAAAAATCTATTTCGAGATTTCAGCGGAAATACTTTTGGGGTTCACTGATACATTTTAATTTTGTTAAAATGTAAAAATGTTTTAAAATTTGTTTTGAATTTCTAAATCCATGATGTATTTTTGATTGTTACAAGAATACACAGGAGTGTTTAATCAGCACATGCTGTAAAGGAGAGTGTGATGATTCTGGTAATCCTGCCCCTCCCCCATGCCTTTAATACTAAAATTTAATTTCTTTAACTTGGTTACACTGAATAAGGCTGGGAAACTTATTTATCATTAGATATAATTGTTGTGATACCCATTTTTTAATTCATACCTGCTGGATGTTTTGGTTGCAGAACCTCACATTTTACTATTCAAGAGGAAACGGACAACACCACCTGGGGAAAATGAACAGTGAAGCAGATGATGATAAATAAGACTGTATATAAATGTATATTGCATGGAGTCGGAATGTATATTGCATGTCTGAAGAGCAGTTCCTGTTTTAAGTTATTGATTATAGGTTCTGTTGCTACAATCATGAGATTGTTCTAGTTTTAATTACCTACTTCTTTCATTCCAACTTCTTAGCGTAAGTGGGATTTTTAGAGATTTTTACATTTTAAAACGAATTTTTAAAGTTTAACAGAGAAGTGAAGTATGTGTCGTAAGAAAAGAAATCATTAGTGTTCAGAATTTCTTTTCCATGTTATACTGATGAACTTGTATCAAATGTATGAGCATATCAGTGTTCATAAGATAGGAATTGGCATTGCAATACTTCTGTAAAAGTTTGATCCATCACATATGTAAGATAGGCCCAATATTTGCTTTAATCTTGACTCTTTCAAACAGTTTTGTGGTTTTACATTGTTGTAAAGTGTAATAAATTTTCAAGTTTCAGCACAATGTTGTAAGATTATTTATGTAGAGATTATGAAATGAAGATACTTTTAAAATGCAAACTTTCTGATGTTTTTCTTCTGATTAAATAGATGTTTTGACCAATCCTGTAATGTCCTTTTACCAATATTTTAAAAGAGTTTAGTTTACATGAGGAAGTTACAGATTCACATCATTATCGTGGCATCGATTCTTTCGTAACTTTGCGTTGGCTTCTGTTAGTTTCACAGTTGCAGCCGTGTTAATTTTGTGAAGATCCCTTCCTACTGTTATTGTGGAAACAGTATTACTCAAGTGAGTTAAGAGTTCTGCTGTCACTTTTGCCGCGGTAGTTTTTACGTTGTGTGCCCTCAATTTTTTTTTAATGGTCGTCGGTCTGTCAGTTAATTTCGGCTTCAGCCCAGCATTCCTCTCCTCTGATGATATTTTACCATGTATTGTGCATAGTGTGATTGGTGTGGGCACTGGCTCGTGAAACAGTTTAGCTGATTTCATCATACAGGCTCCCACCAACAATTTGCCCTCATTTGAAGTCTGAGGGATCACGCATCTCACCGCTCGTGTGTGTTCACCGTGGCATACCAAAGCCTTTAATACTCGTACTCTACAATACAACAATCTAGAAAACGTGGCACGTCAACCCAGTTTACACATCCCAAGTAGCACATGCAAAAATTTGAACTATAGTGCATTGTGCAATTTTGTCCAACCCCTGTATTATCTTCTGGTACCCTTTTGAAACATTTCTTCTAGCGTTTGCACACATCATCTAAAAGATTGGATCACACCATTTGTGCAATATGTATTTCATGTTCTTTTCTTATATTTGCTTTAGTAATTGTGGCAGGGAGTGCCTCTTTGCCTTCATGAAGTTCGATCGCCTCTGATTTTGCGCCAGCTTGTCGGAGGGGTCGTTGCTGCCTACACCTGAAAGTGGACGGGTAAACTGGGCGCATGCATTAAGGATCTCTCGGTTCGTAGACTAGTAAAGGAATTCTTGATTTACACATAAAATTTAATAATATACAGTTGTGCAATAAATTTATTGATTTAATATCTACATTGAAAGCCAGAACAAAAACAGATGCACAAATCTGAATTGTCACTCCCAGCGTTGTGGGGAAAAGTCAATTAGGTCGCGGGGCCCTCTCAACACTTTCCATGATGTTGCTCCGATGCTGTGGCGAGGACGCTCGGTGTTGCAACTGCCACAGGTAGGGCCAGCCAATAACGGGATCGAACTCGTGGAAGATTCCTAGAATGATCTGATGGCAACGCCGAGACTAGTTAAGGATGTCTTAGGCGAGAGGCCCCAGCTCCCGTGTCCTGCCTATTTAAAAGCTCATGGTCCGCCCCACCTGGGGACGACCACTCGCGCCGCATTTCCGGGGCCACGGGACCCCGGCCACAATCGCGGTGCTGTTACATTATATTTGGTTTATAATTAGGGGAAGCCGGGGCTAGTTGTGACACGGTGTTTACTTACCGATCCAACAGCACAGCTTTCAAATCTTAACCTCAGTGTTCTCTAGGAATTGCTGCGGGACTCGTCACTTGATTTGCTTATTTAGGAACGTTTTGTGTTATACGCGTAGCGAAGTAAAAATTATCGGATTGTTGGAGTAAACCTTAACAACAAATTTGAGGCATGTTCGACCACTTAGTGTCATTGAAGAAAATACTTTTTAAGCTATAATTTGAATTTTTTTGGTCATGTGCCAAAATAACCTGAAATAAATAACTGAAATTCATATTAGTGTGTCCAAAGACCTCCGTGAACTCCGTGAAATTTCGAATGTATAAGTTTGTCTATCATTTGACCACGTTTGTCCATCCTCTGGAAAATATTTACCAGCTGCCGTTAACAAATAAGAGCAAAAACAATTTTTTCGAGCTAACTTCACTCTAACGTACACACAAGATTTTGACTAAAATGTTAAACATACAAAAAATTGAGGTGCGCTTTCGTTTGGCCATCTTCAATCGCAAACTAGATTATGTCTACAACGTTCCCCGAGCAGATACCGAAAATCTTGTTCTACTGCACCCAGAGCATAAGCCTGGCACGAAAAAAAAATTGAAAATTCAAATATTTTTGTGTGGAATAGTTTCATCACTTTTGTCCACCCATTGGAATTTTTTTACCTGCTTTCAAAAATTTACAAAAAAAATTTCCCTGCCATTTCTCAAAATTTTCAGATTAGTAACAAGCCAATAGAAATTTCAAAACTTTTTTTTTCTTTCATTTTTTCATTGAATCCTGTGAGGTTGTTTGTTCACCCATTTGAAAAATATTTTCCAGCTACCATTAAAAAAATTGTTGGTAAATAACCTGTATCCCACCATCTTTTAATTTTGTGAAAATATCATAGGGTCACTTGGGAAATTCAAAAACATTTTCATTTAAATTCAATTATACATCATTCTTAAGTCTGAACTAGGTATTTGGTTGGTCCTGATTCTCTTCCCAGATGAATTTTTTGGTCACCCAAAGGACATTTTGTTCACATTTTGGTTTTGGTTTTCGGCTTCCTAAAGCTGAAACCAGCATACATTTAAGACTATTGCATAAGTGTAAATCCCATGTACTACCCGGGCAGAGTATATATCTTGGTAGGTAAGGACTACGCTCTTCAAAGGGAAGTTTGGCTGATTCGGGCCTTGGTCGGGAAATATTATTTGTCACAATTCTCGGTTGCCCAAAAACATAATTGAGAATTCCAGAAACTTTATTGAAAACCATTTGAAACAATTCTCACAAGTAGAATTAAGATCAATAAACTGGAAGTATGTTAATGTGATTTTTGAATTTTCAACTATTAAAGGATTTTTCACAGATGCTTCGTGCAAACATCTCCTCTTAGGTGGTTGTAAATCCACCCAATAAGAAAAAATCAACTTTCTAAGCAGAAAATTTGAATCAGAATAATATGAATTTAAGATTTTTTGAGGTAGTTACCTATAAAATGCTTAATTAGTTTTATTATTTTGTTTGTGTACATTGTAATTAATAATGTATATAAAAAGTATACTTAGTGAAACAATAATTTATATTTTAATATTTAAAAATTAGTTATGACTTTCGTTGAGAATGTCAAAATCAATCTATATTGACTTACATTTAAAATAATATTTTCATTCCTTTTTTAATTGCAACCTTATAAATACTTTTCCCACTTTCTCCTTTTCACTGTTCTTCCTCCTCTTAAATATCTGTGCATAAAAGAGATTATCACAGAAATTCTTTCATTGCCACATGCAAGCTTGTTCCCTACGGCTTAACGAAAAATGTTAGCAGTTATACCGTACTTCCAAAAGATGACTAATTTTTAATGGCGTGTTCTAAAATTGACTGGAAGTTTTCCCATGTGATATTATATTACACACACGACAGATGCTATGGCGTTTTTAGAACATGCCCTAAAAAACCATTGAGGTCTTAAAAACTAATTATTACCAGCGCAAGTTTTCTTGAGCCCTCGATTCGCTAGTTGCTAAAAGAGTGAGAGGCTTCATTATTTTGACGTCAGGACTATTATATCAAATCTGTAGCTCGTTTTTTGATGCGAAATAGAATCGTTAACCATCAATTGCAATAATAACTTGGTCTGTCACCTGTTCACAGATGCATTGCGGATCTGCAGGGGGAAAATAACATATTACATCAGAGTAAAATCATATTTTTGAAGTGAAATCGTTATGTGACAGGCCACGGTCAAGTTTATGATAATCAAAGTTTTGTGTTATCTCAATATAATGTGAAATCTTCGAAATAATAAGACCAGGTATATTGTAAAATATTTGTTTATTGAAGAATATTAGTAATATTTGAGCAATTTATGAAAAGATAGTTTCTATATGAATTAAGATATTCTGTTTAATAGTTTTATGCCAACCAGCTATGCAAAGCAATGTGTTACAAATTTAAATCTCATCTGAATTCTCTGGCAGGATATACAGTTAAGTTTCTTTACAATATTGAGTACACATTGTGCATCATTTGAGGTCACTGGTTTCTGTATACAATGTACATGGAAAAATTGACAAATACATGATGCCTTCTTGCTTGACAATGCGCTCTACTTCAAAAACGTCTCAGAAGTTACTCTCCGAGTGTGCATTTATGTGTCATATTAACAATATGGGTAAACGAAGTTAACTCCAAATATTTAACTAACTACTTGAAGATACAAATTCAGTTTTACATTTGGTGAATGCATAATTCATATTAAAATTTAAGGTAAGTGAAAGGAAATTCAAATATTCTACTAACACGTTGATCATTCAAATTCGTTTTTATGTTTGTTGAATGCATGATGACGGCTTTCTTTCGTTCGTTTCTGCAAGTATAGCTCTAAATCTAGTGCCAGCTCATTACTACATATTTATATAGATGTACCTTTATTTGCATAACATGAATTACATTACAAAATTACTTTCACAGGTATTCGAAGTTACAGAGTACCATTGCCGGCACATAAACGGGGTGGAATTTACAGTTCAGATACTAAAACAATTTGTCATATTCTGAATCGTAACACTCGTCTTTAAGAATATTTTAGGATAGTTACATTTTTATCCTTTTTTGGTTATAAGATATGTAAAATAAATAACGTCATTGCTCTAATATTTATATTACAGATGTGGAGGCAAACTTGTATCAATTTCAACTTCTCTTTGCAGATTTGAGGGAAGTTCTCTGTAAATAGCTTCTGGGACGTTATCTGAAACATAAGATTTTAATAATAAATACAATTTGAAATATTACCCCAATTGAATTAACTGGCTGCACACTTTGTCACGTCTAATTCTTTACATGTTACAAAATTGTAACGTTATCAAACCATCAAGTGTCTGAGAATAATGGTCTTAATAATTAATACTTTTTTTCTGATGGCACTAGAGCCTATTTCTGATCTTGGGCTAACATCTGTTTTACTGCAATACTTCCGGTCTTTCGTGCTATACAAATTAATTATTTCTTATAAGATATGACAATTACATTAGATTTGCCACATTGAATGGCATTCTTCAAGTAGTAAGATAAACTAAGCTGCAGATAACTATTTTGTTCTAGATACATCGCAACCCATGTCGGATATAATGCTACAAATTTGTACATCTTGAAATATAAGCTACATTGCATTGAGACATACTATCAATCATTATACCAACTCTGTAACTTCAGCGCCGGGCGTTATTTTAGCCGTCCCGTTGGCAAATAGGTAATTATATGTGAAACGTGTAATTGTGTTATAGAGATATTACTACAAGAAGTGACCGACCGCTATTAAACTGCTTGACCACTGCTGGCAATATAACTGCATGTTATGCCCATGCACTCATTTTGTCAGTGCGTTCGTTTAGAGTTTGCTCATTTGTGTACGGCTTCATCACTTTCTCTTGCATTGTGATCACCTTAGTTGATGTGTTTCGCCACCTGTCAGAGTGGGCCCTCCTTAGAGAAACTCCTCTGTACTGTTGAGAATGAGATGCTTTACCTAATTCCGATATAACCATCGTCTACACTGATCGAGCTACCTAAAGGTTTCACGAATATTTTGGCGCGCTAATAGAGACAATGATTGATATCAGTACTTTCTGAAGAGCGAAAGCAAAGTATTACACGCTTGAAGTCTATTTTGTAAATGAACTGTCATTGTACTCTCTTAAAACATGAAGTGGAGTAATTCATATAACAGTTGAGAAAGTATTAGGTTCAGAGTGGTAAATTTTCTAGGGAACTTTGGCCATACAATTGAAAATAAAACTTATGGTGCTAAAACAACCATTTCTAATGGCGAGAAAGTACATGCTATGTAACACCATTTATACCACAATTTCTTCCCGCATTATTTTTTGTAAAACTCATTTCAAATCGTAGAACATTCGGTGCAAAAGATAAGCAGAATGCGAGAAAGTAAAATAATTAAAAGTTAATAAATAATACGATCCTGATAGCTTTGGCAAACAAATAGATCGAAAGAAATATAATAATTATTATTAAACACTATGGTATTGTAATATTTCAAATCATAAAGGATTCGTTTTTATTACCGCAAATGAAAAGTACCGTCATTATCGTCTTTCGTTATCTGTGCGGCGTTACAGCAATTTGTAATAACAACCAACAATGGCCGCTTATCTATTCGTTTTCACATTTTAAATCAACCTAACTAGTGTCGAAAATCCTGCCACCGTGGGGACTCGAACTTACGACGTGCCGATCAGAGGCACTGCAGCGACCTCTGCAGTTGATGGCCTGAGCCACATCCCCCAGTCTGCTGTTTGAGAGGCTATCTAGTACATCTTACCGTTGCACCGGTATACAAGGTCCGACCAGATGATCATCTCCTGCGAGAAGCAGAAGACGCCCAGGCGGCCGCCCTTGAGCGTGCTGTCGTACACGTTGCCCGAGTCGGCCACCATCGCCTTGCCCTCGAAGATGCGCAGGCGAATGAGGCCGATGCGCGGGCGATGCAGCAGCAGCCAGCGGTACGCCACCTTCTCCTTCCAGCCCTTGTTGCGCGGGTCCTTCCACAGCAGCTTCACCTGCGCATGCGTGCAAATGCTTCGCCTCATCGCCCCATTCTTCATTTCAACGAGCGTTGTGAAATGTGCAAATATAATTTTAAAAAAGACAATTTTTCTTCGCCTTTTTTATTTTACGTAAAAAAGATAAAAGTTGTGTGACATACTATGTGGAGAAGCGCAATCTATTCACGGTTTCTTGAGTTCTGACATCTCTATTCTCATATACATATGAAGTTGAATTATGAATACAGGTAGCCCCCATCCCTCCCCATCCTAAATCCCCCCCAACCTCCCGCCATCCAGAACCCTAACAAAATAACCCTTCTTTCCAAAGAAAAACAACCCATCCCTGAACCACTTAGACTCCCAGTCCCCGTCCCGTACGGGGGAGAGGAGTCCGAAACTGCCCAACGTTCGAAGAGACCCCAAGAGGGGTCAGGCGAACAAGAAAGGTACACCACAGTGGAGCAACAGGTAGCAACCAGCGTTTTTTTTTATAAGAATTGGTATGAAAATACAAGCTTCGTAGTAATAAACTCTATTTGCAAAGACAAATTAGCTACAGATATTGGCTATTATCCCTAGAGTTTTGCCCGAAAGAATCTATCTACTGCAGCGACAAATTGGAGAAAGATTATTTTAATATCTACATTCCCTGCAATGCTCAAGAAAACCTGTACAGATAGTGAAGACGTATTTATTGTTTAATCCCATTGTTCCCATTTGAGGACAAGAATCTTATGCGATATTGCTATTCAACGAATTATCGAAATTGGATGGAAATCAGATCAGAAAGGAGGAGATTATTTTCACTACGATTGAGTTACGGTTCGCCTGATATGTACAATTGTGTGAGAATTCTCGAAATCCATGATTTTTTATGTTTATTGTGTTATGTTATATGTATGTTATGTTATATGTATTATGTTATTTGATGTTTTTATGTTTGGAGTACTTGAATTATTTTGCAAGTAAAGGAATTGTTGTAAAAAAATATTTGCAGCCAAAAGATACAAGCATTTTGGCGAGTTGACGAATTCATTACGTTCTGCTTGTGAGACATTATATTTCCCATCGATTCCAGTGACGAGTCGTCTGTTTCTCCCGTACATTTTCTCTCAATTCCGCAGTCCAATATCTAATAATGGAAGAAATTACAGAAGACGTTGTTTAGATCACTATTAGGGCCCGGATGTTTATGACATATGATCTTTTTTCTTGTGTTATTTCCTCCGAAAATATTAAGTTTAGCTACAATGGCTAAAATTCTGGAATTTTCACGTCTTATGTACAGTCATATTTTGTTTTATTTTACATTATGTCATTTTTCGATAATTTTTATTTTATGGTCAAATTTTTCCATTAGTGTTCGAATTTTGTCATATTTTTATCTTTTTGATTCCATTTTCGCATACTTGTTTGCAGTCGTCTCGAAGTGATTTTTCACGCCTCCTAATTGATTTCTAATTTCTTAGAATTGCTGTGTCTATTGATACCTGTCTTTCCAATAAAGTCTAAATCATAATGCTAATAACAAACTGCGTAACTCCATATTCCCTCCTCTATTTTCTGTTTACCTAATGATAAAATATAAATATGAAAGAAGGGCAATAAATAAAAGTAAATGACAAATAGAGCACATTAAATAAGCGTTACCCAGTTTTTATATGTTCAACAAAAAAAGGAAACTAAAATTCTTCTTCAGGGCTATATTTATTCTTTCCATTGTGAAACTGTCCAATCTGGTGTTACGGAGTATGCTAATTAGTATGACGATATATGTATGTGAATTAAGAGGATAAGAAGGAGAAAAAGAAAGCAACGAGATGCCAAGGAAATGTTATTTTAGTTTTGTGAGGTTTTGTGCTAAGGTCAACTATAGATATCTGTAGTAGGTCTTGACGGGGCGCGAAAGGAGAAGAGGTGAATTGTGAATGCGCTAGATTATCAAAGCACATTTTCAATACGTTTATTTAAACAGCAGCAAGATTTGGGAGAAGATTCGAAAATGCAACGAATTAAAAAAAAATCATATTTATGGTCATATTTCAGTTTTAGGTCATAAATGCAGGCATATTTCTAAAAAAATTGGTTATTAACACTCGGGTCATAGTTATTATATTACTTCCTAATGAAGGAAATTAAACGGTGACGGGCAAAGGAGGTGGTAATAATGACGAAACTTGCCAGTGAGGCTGCAACAAATTTCCGAGGGGGGGGGGGGTTGAGAGGGCTGAACTCGAAATGCGTGCTAAAGTGCAAATTCACGTGAAAAAGAAACCAAATCCCTGCCGATACTATCATAAAACAATCACTGGACAAAAACCGAGTGTTACTCAAAGGTTCTTTCAGAGAAGAAAATATGTAACATGAAGAAATATCTGCATTTTGGCGGCCTCTGCCATGCGCTTTTTACCGATACGATTTTGATAATGATTCCCGTGGATCTGAGAATCTCTCAAAATAAGTCTCCACGACCTCACAAAGCATTCTACTTGTTTATTCATGATATTCTATCGTAATACCCCGTTGCTAGGAGAAGATAACTGACAACTACGTTAACCCGCTTCGTTTCAAAGTAAGGTCCGCGTTTGACAGATATCAAGCTGCATATTTCTCTTTTTCTACCTCGTGAAATTAAGACCTACATTTGCCTGTAAACCGGCCGATAGTTAACGGCCACTAAGGTAGCATGTGTTCGAACTCTTAATAACAAATAAGATAACTATTTACTTGGATATTTTATGAAATCAAACAATGTGAATTAAACATTAATGTCAATATCGGGTTGTTTAATTCACTTATTTTGATGATACACATTTTCAAAATATTTAGTTGTATTAAGAGTAGGAACAGTGTCTGTCAAATTGCCTTTAACCTACACAGATTAACGGGGAATTTGACAGCAGTTAAGAGAAGTGTGAGAGTGCGCACCTGGTTCTCGGTGTCTCCAGTGTGCCAGAGGGAGTTGCGCAGCATCTGCCCGGGTCCTGTGCTGGAGTCCACCAGCTTGAGTTGAATGCCTGGCTCCGCCACAGCGCGGAACGGCGTGGCCTGCCAGTACGTCTGCGTGTTCTTCTTCCACATCACCGTGTAGAACTTGTGGTTGCTTTGGTAGCTGAGGAAATACGTCAACTTCTGGTAGATTACTTGGTGGGGTTGGGAAGCGATGGAAACATGTTGCCAAATATGTTATTTTCCAGGGTTCTGACGCTGTAGTAGATGAGTAACCCTCGGTTGGTTCATTCTTTTGGGTATACCTGGTCATTTCAGTTAGCAGGGCCCATTGACACCCCCCCCCTTGTCAATTTACGCCACCATTCGATAAAAGGGAGTATGTCATAATGATTTTTACGTAATATGAACAATTATTCTTTAATCAAACCGCGCGAAATTAAATCGAAACTATCACAGCCAAAATAATTAGGTTGATAAAAATGGTAAAGAACTCTCAAAACTTGAAATAATTGAAATAATATTTATTAATGTACTGATTTTCTGGGAAAATAAAGTACCTTTCTTTCTTGTCAAATACGATACTGGCTCACTAAGCAGCGTTATACACTACTCAAGTCTTAGATTTATGAACACTGTTTAAATACGTACTCTTTCAAGTTGCTAAACTTCTCAAAGGCGTGCCATCCTTACCTGAATATGAAACCCACATAGTCGTCGTCCACGTCCGTGTCCACGAAGAACGTGCCCTCGAAGTCCACGCCGCCAAACTCGTCGTAGCCTGCACAAGATCAGTTTGTAAGATTTCTTCTTCTCGTATATTTTTATTTTAATGGTTCGAGATTTTCTCTCCCAGAGATTTGATGTCGGGGTCTTTGAATACTAGCAGATATTGTAGCATTTTTGAAAGGTAGGGACTTTCAACAATTCCTCCGGAAGAGAACGTTTTCGTTTTTGCTATTGATGAGAAGCTGGGAGAGCAGTAATATAAAAATATGCTCTAGGCAATCGTCGCATTTAAGTAGTATCATTGAACTCTGCAGGAAACGGTTAGTAGAGTTTTAATATCATCATTACATGTGGCAATTCGCTGATTCAAGAAATAACAAAAATAATGATCTAATAATTTACTCAAATATGATATAGTTTAAAATATCATCTAAGATTGTCTTACTAATCAGTATCGTGTATATTCTGATAGAGGAATCTCTCTCTGCAGTCTGAAATTTACTAACTTACGTTGGAAGTAAATATTTGCTTCGCGAATGTTTCAAAATGAAACCGAGGAGAGAATTTCATTTGTGAATTTTACCATAACGTGTTTATTTCAAACATATTTGTTGAGAAATATCTTCCAGAATCTTTTATCTAACGGATCTTCAAGGGAAGCAACTGGACATCGGGATAAAATCATTAATTACTATGATGAACAATGAAAGAAATATTTATAAAAACACATTATTTTTGCCAGTTCAAATATTATTGCTGATGTTCAATTAGTGGTAATTATGCTTGGTGACAAAGGTAAATGATCATGTCCCTATTTTATGTTAATAATTGACATTAATTATCGATTTTGCTGGGACGTTTCTCTCCCCATAAATAAGAATTTTTGAAAATTAGCTTGCTAACAAGGCAGCATGCGAGTATTTCATTATGACCATTTTACGTAGTTATTCGCTGACTTACCTACAGCGAGACCTGGGTCGCTATTCATTGTTTGCACAATCTCTGCTCCTTTGTTGTAAATGACCCAGTTGGGATCAATCTGAGAGTCGCCTTCGGGGTCTAGAACGACAGTCTGGTATGACCTGCAATGAAAGAAGACAAGTCAATGCTCATTTCTCAGCTTCCAGAGACGTCAGCTTTGACCTTATTGTTTATATCCGCCCGCTTTCGGGGGCCGAGATCTCCCCCTTGCCTGGCTGCTTGGTGAAGGTCTTAGAGGCCTGCCCTTCCGACCTCAGGCAAAACGCACACCTTTGCCTTATCTTGTATGTTTATTTAACAAAAAAAAACAAACAACAACAACAACAACAAACAACCACAGTAAAACATGTTGGTGACGTATGGGGCCAGTACAATGTGCGCCCGATGTCTTTCGCTCTAGAATCCCTATGCCACCCATTTGCGAGTATTATACGTAGTTGAATGATGAATAAGGGTACCAACGTATAGATTTGATTAGATTTCTTCTCGAAGTAAATGCCCCTCAGGCCGTATACCTCCTGCTAATAGCAAAATGAGCTAAATAGCCATGTCGTTGGAGGGTTTCACTACATGTTAAAATGGAAATATGTATTATTATTATTATTATTATTATTATTATTATTATTATTATTATTATTATTATTATTATTATCGTCGTATATCGTGTATAAGCACTCTGGCAGATATTCTTTTGAAATTAACCGTGAATGCTCTTTGACTGAATTTTACTGGATATTGACTCATTCCAAGGCGAAACAGAATATTCAGAGGAAGAATGTGCCTAGTTATTTCCGGTAGTAATAGTAATGGCTAGGTCGGTCTAAAACTTGAAACATTTTAGGATGACATGCCACTGGTTAAGGTTTACTTGAATTAAAGGCATACGGGAAAGCTGATAAATATAGTTGAAAGTTATATCTAGCAACCAGACATCTCCAAAATATATTTCAGTCAATATAATTGTTCACGCGTGATGGGGTGAGTGAAAAGAATTTCATTCACTTTCAGACACTAATTAATTGTCCATTTGTTTTCGCCAAGAAATGTTTATTCTGTTAGTTAACTTACCTGAAATCTGTGGAGTAAATTTTGCTGTTATTAGGACAGTTGTCGTCCTCATCGCGAACCTTGTCGAGATCGAAATCTGTCTGGCAGATGTCACCAATGCCGTTGTCTGAAATCAGATAATTACAATTTTGTAGTGAAATTTTGTACTGTATTTAGGTCTTATTGACGCATCAAGCTAATTATAAAACTGTATCCAAAATATCTCCAGATCTTAATTCTCCTGCGAAAATACCTGATTCGATGTTCACTCAAATGAGCCGAAAACGTGAAATAATTTACTCACACTAATGATGTCTCAGCATTTCTCTAATAATGAGTACATGTGTAGAAAGTTATAAACAGTAGGCGACTGTGCAGTTCTTACAAGCACGTTTTTATGGAATTAAAAAGTCGCGAAAAAAACCCGCGTATATTGAAACAGTCATCCTGGATGGCCGTGGTAGATAAGAGCGTGTCAGCGTTTCAGCGATTCAGCGTTTCGATCCGAAGGGTTGCGGGTTCGAATCCCGGTTGGGGCATGATTATGCCTCGTCTCATGAAAGTGTCGCGCCCTGCTCACCCCTGAACAGACGAGCCCGCAAGGTGTGTGTGTGTGTGTATGGTCGACTACGCATTCCATGAGGAGGTAAAGGGGAACCGGCTGTCGGCTGGATATAAACCCTAAAATATATCAAAACATGTATCTTACCCGGAAGAACTACAGCTAGTTCGCTGCATCTCGTATTTACAACGACTGTCGGAGACATTTCTAGGTCAATGGGGATTGGGTCTTAGATACTGGATCAGGACACCGCTCGGCCCAAATCCCGTTTTTTTCATTTTTCATCGATACAGGAAAGTGACGGGGTGTAATTCGTACTAAAAAAATGACACAGGCTTTGATTTTCCGTACAGATTTTACCCGGTTTGACTACCGCGTTCCTGGTGCTTACGACCCTTTCTCTCATTTCAAATGCGTGTGCTGCGAGTTGTCTTTTTGTGCCGTTTTGAAAACGTGCTGATGTGGTGAATTGCAATGTGAAGTGGTGAGTGTGATGCGAAATAAAACGTGCACGGCGTTCTAATGTCTCTCTTTCGGTGCTCAGTCTTAACATAATGTAACTTAATTTGTTACCACAGATGCGATGTTCAAATGCTTTATATTCCTTTTGAGGCGTCCAGAGGAAATATTTGCTGTTCAGACAAATGATGAAAAATAACCGTTTGAAACGGCTTAAGAGAAGGAGATGGAACAAAGAAGAACCGCGGGGAGTGGATGTCTGGTTTCAGGGGGACACCATGGAAACCACCGACCACAGCGGGCGGGCTCTAAAATTCTCATTCGGACAAATGTCGCCGTCCACCCAGCTTTTCCAGTCAGCGGTCCTTGTATCGAAAATCTGTACACAGGTGCAACTCAAACTTTGCTAATCTACAGAGCGACTACATGCAATACCACTGCCAGTCTACGAAAACATGCACGAATATATAATCGAAAATAAGTAAATTAACATGAACTCCTGATTTTTTAAGGCAAATAAAGTCACAACTAACTACTGAGTATTTTTGCACCAGCGCGACCCCTTATCTTTCATAAGGGGGCCCGCTCTAAAGACGTCTTGTTTGAACTCTAATCATGGCCTTCGTAGAATTGCGATCATCCTTCGGAGAACTTCGTATAAGGAGAAATAAGCGAGCATCGTGTTCCGTTATGACTTCCATAAAGTGGTCAGGGTCGTTTGTTGGTAACATTGTTTTCTATGCAGAAAAATGTTTTACACGTCCGTTGCGACGTGTGTTTCCTCAACGAAGTGCTATACTTACATTTCGTTAGGGAATGAGAACTAGAGGAAAGTTGCAGAACGTTTTGAGGCTTCCCAAATGGGGACGCTTTTCCAAATTTATCAAATTGTCTGACTTTATTCCTTATAATTCCGTCGCGTTTGTGTAATTTTCTATTCAGAATATCATTTTACCTGCCATCACACACTGAAAGACACTTTCCCTCATATAGTGGAAAACACGTAGACAAAGAATATGTTTCTTTTCTTCCAAAGCAGCAATTACGATATGAAAATGAAATGGAAAATGTGTTATCAAATAGTGTTTATCTTCTACTCAATTATGAATTTCACTATCAAATAAAAACCTCTAATTTATCATAAACGTTTGGCATAAACACTCTTTTTAGATTTCTTTTCATTTTTTCCATTTATTATAATATTATTTTATTGTGAAAAACAATAAACAGCATTAGACGTATTGGGGAGAATTATACGTGCGCAGGTTTTCGTTAGCCCCAGAATCCCGGTCCCCTCGTGTAGTAGACATTTTAGAATTATGATACAGGCACCGAAGAGCAGAGTTGTGATGCAGATTTGGTTCGGCGATAAAACATTGGGGTGTTTTAGCACATTTGTAATTTCTTAACTAAATCACATAAGATTAGACGTTAATCTCATAACACTAGAGTTCAAAAAGGGCACGCTGGTGACATAACTTCCACACCGTAACAAATTAAATTCTTTAAGAGCAAAAGGAAGACGTCACAGATGTATTATGTGCTCGCTTGTGATTTACATATTGGTATTCCGTTAACTTACTCCATTATGGTTGCTTGTTTAGAATTTGTATTTTTTTTTCGATGTAGAAGCGTCTGTTCATATTATAATTGCAAATTCTAAGAAAGAATCCCGTATACGATCCACGAAGTGTCCATTTAACCCATAAACATAGTTTTTATGATTCCTTCAGTGATTCATATGGTTCATTCAACCATTCACTTAATTTCTACAGCCTTCTTCTTAGCCTCATTAGCCCAAAATTTTGCACATTCACTCCGTGGCTAACTAAATTCGTCATTCATTTTTAATAGATTGCTGTAATATTCACCTGACAACCCTGAACTGTGAAGTGAATCGTAAGGCCGTCGTTACAGCTCTAACGTCAATCACGAGACTCGTCGTGCATAAGCTCAAGTCCTTATAAATGGATCAAAACTCCCTGCTCTGTTAGCTACCGACCACCTAACGATAATATTTTTATTGAAGAAAGGAATCGGATTTTCAACAGGTTTTTTTTTCCTTACACGTTCCAGAAAACTACGCTTCCCTTTCGGGAAGTCGCATATCTTCTAATAGCATGCTACTAAATAAGTACAATTAGTACTAAATGTATGACTGTCAATAACGCATCATATCTTTTTTTAAATATATTCAAACGGCCGTCCAAAATTAAAATACAAAAATAACTACTCGATCCTTTGGGATGACAAGATTCCAACTAACATTTCAGTTGTTTCGATAAAATTGATGCCAACATTTTATTAACACATTACTCAGTAATTTCTGCACTTACACAAGGCGGGATGCAGAAACAAATTTTGGAAGGGAAAATTCAAAGTGTTGTAATTGAATGTGTCATATTACGGATTTGCCGCAGGCACGCAATTCATGCTGTGATACGATTTTATTCGTTTTAATTATTCTCCGAAAATATTTTTCCTTGAAAGTTTCATGACAAGTTAAATTTAATAGTTTTATGGGGGATTTCCCTCAACACCCTCCCCGTGTAACCGCGCCTGACTTACAGAAGTATATTTTTCACAGTATCCATTTGTCCACAGATTGCAGCACGAGTACGTTGTACTTAGTGAATCGAGCAACTTATTTTGTTCGATTTTGTCCGTTGGAATCCACAAGCTAGAATATACTAGATAAAGTAGCTGTTTCTATAGTTTTATCGCTCTTGGTAGAGGCTCGCCGAACTAGTGGCCGTCATGTTTTTCGAAGCCAAAACATACGAGAGGCGGTGTAACCGTCCGTAACCCGCGCAAAACGTAATGCTCTACTGCGATTTTCGCAACTCTGTCCCACGCAAGTATGAGCTGTTGACAGTTTTATTCAATTGAAAGCTTAAACGTCACCATAGTGACGTCACTATAGTAATTTTCGAGCTCCCGATTGGATGATATCGTGAACAGCTGATATCTGCCAGGATCAGAACTGCATAAATCGCAGCATACAATACTTTGTTTTCCAAAGGGCACTGCTTTGACTGAAAGAACCATGGCTTCGATTTGCTTAAAATATGGAGTCGCTTCAGCCACTCTATGTAGTATATTCTCTCTGGTTGGTTGGAACCTTGCCAATGGGAAGGGCCGTAGTGCGGAGCGGAGCGCTTACGGTCCAAGTCCTCCTGGTAGGGGTTGGGCGCCAGGCGGCAGTTGTCGATGGTGTTGGGGATGCCGTCGCCGTCGGCGTCCTCGTCGCAGGCGTCGCCGCGACCGTCGCTGTCCGTGTCCAGCTGGTCGCTGTTGGCCAGCTTAGGGCAGTTGTCCACGTTGTCCTGTACGCCGTCCCTGGGTACATGAAAAAAGATCGCTCGTCTTCAATCCATTCGCGGATTGGGGACAAAATTTGGCCCTGGTTTTGTGTCTAAACCGTCCTCAAAAAAAGTATAGTTAGGTTAAAATATTATATTATCATGATAATTTAAAATATTAATGTTACAATTATCGCAACTGCTAGTAATATCCAATTTGGAGTAATTTTATATAATTTTGAGAAAAAGACATTTTCACCTTCGTTTTTAACATTTTTCATTTAAAAAGGTTTTTCCTACTATTTCAAAGAAAAAATCCAGATTTTCTGACATATGTTTTTCAGTAGCTATTAAAATAAACTCTAATACTCTACTCTAAACATTAATACTCTATAACTTAGTAGTTTTATGTAAAAATATTAAACAACATAATTTTATGTATTTTCACTCAATCGAACTCGCAAGCAGTTTTCAGAACTATCAGGTGTTCAGTCCGGATTTGACGTCCTTATTGTATCGGAGCACGATGACATGTAACACCCCTGATTTCACTGGGGGGGAGGGGAGGGTTAAAAATAAATTGGTTCTGTATAATGGAACCACAATTATCTGGAATAATTGTGTTAGGAATGATCCAATTAACGAAAATATAATTTCATTTGTCAATAGCTGATTTGCGCTTAGAAATCAACGAAAGCAACACAATGCGACACATAAGCAAAGAATAGTTAGGAAAAAAGACAAACGCATTTAGTGTCTACGTCGTGCGTTGTATGCAAGACACTTCAACAACTCTTCTTTCAGCAAAGTAAAATCTATGATTTTTCTCTTGATTCAAAATAGATACACATTGTAATTCGGAAGAGTCGGTTAATTGGTGTCCAGATAGTACTTTTTATGTTAATGTTTTTATATTAATTAACAGTACGTACGAATACAATTAACTCGAGAAAAGCCATTTTCTGTGAAAAATATTGTGAAAAACATTCATTGCCATAACTCCGTGTTCAAACTAGGTTCCAGATATAAAGTGTTCATCATCTACCGTAGTGTCTTTGAGGAACGCATTGTTGTGACTGTCTAAGAAAGACAGATCTACGTCAATGCCCTTTGCCAGGTACTATTTCTCCTTTCGACTATCAATACCTAGTCTACTATCTACTATCAATAAGGACGTCAAATTGTGTCGAGATTTTACCAACGTGGAATATGGTAATAGGGTTGGCTTTTACGAATTTTGTGACAATAAGGCTAAAATACGTCAAAAATAAAGGATAAATGTTTCTCAACATAAAATAATCTGCTAAATAAAAAGTATAATCTGGTGAAGAAATAAGTAAATTTCTTGAGGACAGAGTTCGAACAAATTCTATTTAAGAATAATTTGATGTGCGATTACTTTCGGGAGGAAAAGCTCTGCACTACGAAAGTCTGTACCCATATTGTTTTGAAACTGTTTGACATTGCGCTGTCTCATCCTTCTTGTATCCTTGGAAGGCTACATACATTTTATTCACAACTAAGAAGTGCAGTGTACAAGAAGGAAGATGGATAGTACGTGGTGGACAAAAACTGTTCAGAGAGGGGCCCAGACCTTAATCCTCGTGATTTCTATCTGTGGTGTTCCGTAAAGAGACTGGCCTGTAAGACATACAGAGATGCACTGTAGTAAGTCATAGCAGTGTCCTCGTTGAAGCAATTAAGCAAGGGATGTTAAACGATCTGCAACGGCTTCCGTTTTACGAGTTCACTTATATTTGGCGAAGGACACGTTATACCCTTTTTGCAAAAACAACGGACGACGAGGCTGAACATACATTCAAAATCGTGTCAAGAGTACAGCACTTTCCGAGTACTGCAAAACTTTCAAGATCGCGAAGTTTTCAGCCTTCAAATGCTACGTAATGTTATGAAATGTCCTTGTTATTGTTTGTAATAGGATTGATTTACTATTCTGAGCATTGATTAATGCATTAATGATGTATCTTTTGATGTTTTAAGTATTATTAAAACACTTAATGGGTGAGGAAATAAATTAAGTTTTTATAACTCAATTTTTTAGCAATATTATATTTCAGTAATGTTAATAAGACGAAAATCGTTTTAATTTACTAAAGGGTTCTTTTCAAACTAGTAATTTTTCCTCATGGGACACGCTAAGAACCATACCGCTGCAATAATGTTTCTTTTTTGGATCTTTGTGTTTAATTTTTGTGTGCTGGTTTAGAAGAGTAGCATTTTATTTTCTTGTATAAAAAATTGTCAAAACCTTTTTTGATTTTAATATATGTATTTTTAAATTATAAATAAATAAAAAATATATAGGAATATTTAATTATGTACTTTTTACTATAAAGAAAGTTTATATCTTTGCTCAAATATGGTTTTTTCAATGTTATATTTTATATTGCGTAAAAAATTGCGTTCCAAGCCAGAAAGGGTCCCTCGGGTACAGCCGTTAGATCCCCTAGCTTGATGACGTGTCTGAGATAGCTAAGGCGTGCTTGTGGCCGCAATCATGAAGGATTGACTGGTGTTTTTAAGGGTAGCAACCGTTGTAATCATTAGTCCCATAAATATATTGAAAATTGTATCGCAAGTGGTGGGCGGTGTACATGCCCTGCTAGAATGTGATATCTGGCACCGACCTACATGTTGACTTGCAGGGGTTTCCCCGTCTAGGTACATCCATACAGCAGGCCAATGCCACAACCGGGACTTGCTCTACGCTCCTGACTGGCCTCCTGGCTGGGATATCCTAGAGTTCGAATTCCGACGGGGAAAGTTATTTTCGACACTAGCCAAATAGCTAGTTCGAATTCAGCTGCTGTCTGGAGGAGAATTCTAGCGGCCGGCTGCTCAGGTTGGCCGCTTTTTTCGTTGTTTCTCTGATCAACAAAAGGCGAATTACCAGTACCATAACAAATGGACCACGGATCGCGAGTGATCTTTCCTTCTTCTCCCTCGTCGTTTCTTAACCTTTTACTTACACTTCTACATACTTGTACGATACTACCACACAAGTCGGGAGATCAACTGGGAGCTTACGCCGCTGTGGGAGATACCTGTTCGGGGAAAACTACGGCAGACGTGTAATTAGGCGCCGGATCTCACCATCCAGCGTGATGATCACCGTCACGTCCAACGATAAAACATTTAGTACACTTACTAGACTAATGGCGTCAAGCAGTTGACGCGACCGAAAACATCAATGAATCAATCTTTCGAAAATCCTCTGCCGTCGGGTCTCGAACCTGCCAATCCGATTAGCTGCAATGCCAAATGTTGTTGCGCTGCGCTCATTCAGCGGGCGGAGTTGTGTGTTGGACTGCGTGTCTCTTGAACGCCGACCCACCTGTCGCGGTCGAGGTCGCTGTCGCACATGTCGCCCACCAGGTCGTTGTCGCTGTCCGCCTGGTTGGGGTTGGACACGGACGGGCAGTTGTCGCACGCGTCACCCAGCCCATCGCCGTCCGTGTCGCGCTGGTCGGGGTTGGCCTTGCGCGGGCAGTTGTCGCGGCCGTTAATGATGCCTGCAACAGCACGCCCGTGCTTAACATGCTGACATGCTTAACATGCGGTTAAATCCAACAACAAAACTTCAGATTGTGAAGACGTCTTTCAAGTGAATAAATTTATGAAATGTAATCATTTTATTTTATGCTTATTTGAAGATTTAAAAGTTGACTTGCAAAGTGAAAATAAATAATTTATTTTTAGTTTTCCTCCGCTATCCTAACATAGCTAGGGCAATCGGATAAGGCATTACACAGTTTCCTCTGTATGTGGTTCCCACCACACTCGTTCATTGGTCAATACTTACAAGGGGCAATAGAGAAAATAAAATTCGTTTTAATTTTATAAATGTCAAAACTATCAAACTAAACTTCATCAGCTTGGCTGAATTTAGAGGAGACAGTGGGGTGGCGTGTTAAGCCGCCCCCATTGTCTCTTCTCCTCATCCCATCATTCCCAAAAGTCATATAATTTAACAGGCTTCAATATATGGGAAAGTAAGCACTGAGTTTTAAATGAAAAAGCCAAAATTTGTAAAATTCTTGTTTTTCTTAAACTGGTAGCGTTGCGGTACAGAATTGAATAGTCGGTGGTATAACTTCAATGTATAGAAGAAAGAGATTAGGAACAAAAATTGAACCCTACGAGCTTGTACGTGCAAATGGCAATGAATTAGAAGGATGACTCGTGATTAAATAATGTTCCGTTATTCCAGCACAGTATTTCTAAACTGAAATCGTTGTTTAAGGTACAAAGCTAACCAATGTAGAGCAATGCCCCAAATCCCATATGAAGATAATTTTGAAAATAAAATTTCAAGATCAGTGACTCAAGTGGTTCTGAGAGAAGTAAAATCGTTATGAGATATCGATCTCTCTCGTATAGAGATCTCGTAAAATCGAGATGTTAATATCTTGATTTTGCTCGAACTGTATCTCGTCTTCTTATTACCCAAGCCCTTCGTAAATATGAAGAAATATGTAGTAACAAGATAAACCACATTTTCACCAAAACCGAGGTATTAACATTTACTAAGCCACACAGGCAACAAATAGCCTCTCGATGATCGTAAATGTTAATATCTAGCTTTGGTCGAATGGTATCTGTCTCATTTTTGCCCCAAGTCCACCATAAATACACACAAGACATGCATAGCACCATATCATAAATACGAACAAGGCATACATGAACCCATACGACCCCATCATAAAGATGAACAAGTTCATCACGTATAGTAACAAGATAAGCCACACTTTCACCAGTTGCGTGCCATTAACATTTTAGAATGTCGGGGGCTTTCGTTGGTTAGTGTGGCGCATCTTCCTCCTGGCCTAATTTCTCTCGCTCGTGCAGCGCAAGAGCATGTGGTGAGGCGAGTCGACGCGAGGCGCGCTGCGCCGGACTTACCGTCGTCGTCCATGTCGGAGTCGCAGGCGTCGCCGTAGCCGTCCTTGTCCACGTCGCTCTGGTCGTAGTTGGGCACCGTGGGGCAGTTGTCGCACGCGTCTCCCTGCTTGTCGCCGCCGTCCTCGTCCGTGTCCAGCTGGTCCGCGTTGGGCACCAGCGGGCAGTTGTCCTGCAACGCACGCACGCACGCTCACACTCCCTTTCAACGCAACGCTTTTTGACGTTTTTTTAAAAAAACAAAACATTTTATAGTTCCGAGAAATGTACCGGCTGTTCTGGCTCTCTTAAGTGAAACCCGTATTGTTGTGAATTATAACTTCATGCAAGAAAGGAAAAAACAACAACACAAAACCCTGTTACCGAGGATTTTCAATGACCTACACAATCAATGATCACAGGGTTGATCGCAAAAAATAATCTCATTTACAAACGAGAATGGGAAATTCTAATCTGCTCAGTGGTGTTGGTTGGGATTAAAACAATTCCTAAGTAATTGCGTAAAGAGTGTCTGCAAGGAATACGACACCCACGAGACGCATTCCAATCACTACTACCACCATCATCACTGCCACCGCAACCATCACCATCGCGTGATTTTATTAAGCGGTAAACAAATGCGGAGAATTTCGCACAAGGGATTTCTCGACCAGGGTGATGTCACATCATGGACAATACCGCTGACAATTCGCTCTGACTTATATTGTGGGGAAACTATGAAGAGAGGAAGGGGCTCTGAGTCAAGACATCGCATAATATGACACACTAAACCGACATCAGTATTCATAACTGCCGTACTTAGCATTACAATTTTGAAGAAAACTGTACTGAAGAAAAGTCAAAATAGGAGGACGCAATATTTAAAGGATATTAGTGTGCAAGCACAATTTATAACAATTAAAGTATCTAACAAAGGAGGCATTGCGCGATGTGTAGCTTGCGTCACTGAGATAAGCATGCGAGATTATTGTTCTCTAGCAAGCCGACGCGAGGCGCTGCGGGCAAATGGCGGCCTCTTCGAGGGCTGCTCGCGCTGCCGTTCAACCCACTGGGCTGTTGGGGACGCCGTCGTTGTCGGCGTCACTGTCGCAGATGTCGCCGTAGCCGTCGCCATCCGCGTCCTCCTGGCCCGAATTGGGCAGGTGCACGCAGTTGTCCTGGAAGCAAGAGGGAGTCCGTTAGCGAGAGAATGGCAGCGCTCAAGAGATGGAGACCACGCGTTGGGCCTTCTACTCCGTTGGGTTGTTTTGGTTCTATACCAAAATAGAGTTTCTCTACTCTCAAAACATTTCGTTTAATCTATTATCGAGGATAAATAACAACAACAACAACAACAATAATAATAATAATAATAATAATAATAATAATAATAATAATAATAATAATAATAGCCGATCAGATGGCTGAGATCGCTAAGGCAGTAGTGCCGTAGTGGTTTCGGACTAGAAGATCGTGGGTTAGAGTCCCGCCTCGGGCATAGGTGTATTTGTGTATGTCTGTATGAGTGTGTCGTCCTTTCACCCCTCATTATCATCATCATCATTTCATCTTCCCCAAGGGCTAACAACCCTGCGGAATAAAAATTGGACTCAGCGAAATGCTGGTCCCCAATTAAAAGTTACATGCACCTTACACCGCGATAATGATACTGAGCCACGGTAAATGCAGGATGCATTCATGCGTGGTCCTAGTCGGCCGATTCGCTAGCAAAAAATTATTATTATTATTATAATAACTAGAAATGCAAAACAACATATACTCTCTCGAATTATTGGAAACAGTTAGGTAATATAGAAATATTGCTATTTCTGCCCAACTAACAACTCAGCAAAAACTAGAAAAAGTCCAATTTTATCTAAGCACCTGTGGTGAATATCTGCATTTATTTCGATAGTCAGGAACAGTAGTCATTTCTTACTTTTACAAATGAAACAGGCATGAATAAATTTAACTGTTACAATATTTGCAGCACATCACACATGAAAGCAAGAATAATTTTACTCACGGTTGCCTTGATTACGTGGAAGTGAGGTTTTAATTTTTTAATACCAATATTAGCGATCAAAACTTCTTGAAGGAAAATATGTGTCTGTAAGCGCTAAGTTAATATTATTACTTTTCTTAAATCTTTTCATATTATAAGAATATTATCGATATCATACAATCATCAAGACCAGCAACAATAAGAAGAGTTCGAATAATTTGAAACCGCCGTCTTGCCTTTTTGCGAACTGACGGTGAAACGAAGGTAGGAAAACTCGAAGTTACAATATTTTAATCATTGTTAGTGTTTAAATCATTGTTAGTGATAGAAATGAAAATAGCTTCGCACTGGAACTCAACTTTCAATGTTTCTGGCAATCCATGCTACGGAGTGTCGAAAGTATAAAAATATATCATCCCAAAAGGTATCGTTTTGTAGATTAGGGTATAGAAAACATACCTTGTTTTCCTCGCTGGGCGACAAAAATCTTGTTTTTAGCCTCTAAGATGCATCTATCAGAAATATGCACGATGGTGACGTATTTCTGCGTTTTGTAAGTGTAAAGGGTGTTGTAAAGTGGGTTGCGGGTTGCTTGAGCGCCTGATAACCAAATTATTCCATAACGTCCATACTTTTATGAGTTTCGTCTTAAATATCTTTGATGAACCCTTGGGGGCAATATCCTATCCGGCCCGGGACAGGGTAAGTCCTGTTCCCTATTCATATTTTTGGGGGGTTCTGTAGACGGTTTCTAAAAAAGAGAATAATCCCTTTATAGTAAATTTTACGCATCCGTCTATAATTATATTTTAAACAACTTTAGAATTTGCTTGATCTTGAAATGGAATAGAATGTGCAGCATATTTTAATGGCAACTTTTGGGTTGCTTTTCGCTTGTAAATGAGGAAATGTTAATGGAGTAAAGAAAAGTATGTGATGAGCTTGATGAGTATGAGTCGGCCTTGATCTGAATAACTGGTCATTAGGGCTGAGAAGTTGCAAGATATATTAAGCTCAATAAAAGTGCCAATATCGAGGTCGAGATCTTGAAGGAAGATGTACTGTTTTTTCCCTCTCTTTAGATCGAGTAACAAATTATGACGAAGCGTATTGCAATTGATAGTCTTCAAGTAGCCCAGATGAAGGTCAAGGCAAGGGAGGCAAAATCTGCAAAAACAAACTGTATTCATAGAGCATAACGTCCAACGAAATAACATCTATTGAACTGACATTTAGAAATGTAATTTATTTTATCATACAATGAGTGATACACTTATTTGAAAAGAAAATTAATTCCGTTTATCTACATTCAGATGGCTGATATCACTAAGTAATGTACAATACTTGTTTTCGATGACCCAGATGATGCAACTTCATTCCACAGTAACTTAACGACACATCAGATTCTTCTGCCTATTCCTAAAATGTCGAAATGGCATAATCTGAGTTCCATTGTTTGAATGCGAACACGAAGATATGTAGACGATCAAGATATTAAAAAACAAGAATGGTTCTCATGAAAATGAATTGTATTAGTGATGAAAAATAAGTGAATAAATTTTTAGACTCTAATTAATAAATATTATTATATGCAATGATGTTCCTCCAATCCAGGATCTCTCCTCACTCAACACCGGTTTTCAGTGACATTTGTCTAGCTAAATTTGTAATGTGTGTCATAACGAGACATCGAATTTTTATGTTCTAAAGTTTACGTTTTAAGACTCCATAAATAGGCTATTAAAGAATGAAAATACTCTTTACTATTTATGCAGTACAAATTGAATGAAAATAACGTTTTCGTTAACATAAATTTGATGTTCGATGAAATTAACGTTTTTATTTTATTTAAAAAATGATTGCTGGAAAAGTCATCGTATTTCTTTATGCAGGCATGGACTCGGCGCTTTTTTTTCTCGATTACGTATGTCTTAAATAGCTCACTAGCAACTAAATACGATTGGATCAGAGAGAGTAGGAACATGTAAATTGCTAGAAGGTTAAGTCGTAGGATTGGTACTACAATGGTTCATCAGATTCTCTTTGCAGGTTTGCGTAAATTATCGAATACCTGAGAGTATTGTCTACGATGTACTTGTAAACGTAGCAAACTAAGCTACTTGGAAGTTTAAACCAGTCGTTGAGAGATAACAGGCTCTGGGCGTGCTTGGGATAAAGCTATGAGAATTGAAAAATATAATTTCTCGATATTATCTGTCGTCGAAACAAGCTTGTGAAAATCCAAGAAAAGTACAAAATACGAAAATGATACCATTAATAAACAAGTAAGAATGTCTAGCCCCTAATGTTGAATTAGACTTTTTCACGCATAATAATGGTTGATTGCATGAAAAGTGATAATAATATAGCCGATGATAACAGTGTTGGGCAAGGCTTCCCACAGTAATGGGGTGCCTGAATATTTAATTCACTTTCAGGTCAGGTAACCTTGGAGAGCGTTTTGATAAAGCTTAATCCACTGTCCATATTATTGACTAAATAAAACCATATTATTGATTGGAAGTGTGTGTCTTGTGCCATTGCATGAAACACGTCCATTATGAAGTTCGAGTACCTACACCAACAATGGAAATTGAGAATTTTCCTATTCTTGGGTTTTTATTTCTTGGGGCCTGAGAGATTGTCTTCACAATGGAATATCTCACGGCATTCCACGTCTTACTCGGCCGTGCCGTTATATGTCGCATGATCGCGACCATGGTGGTGATCATGCATCATCTTGCGGTACGACCGAGAAAAAAGACGAGAAATGTCGTGAGATATTCCATCATAAATACAGGTCATCACGCTCGAAGAAATAAAAAAAAAACAAGTATAGAAATCTCTTTCTGTGATAACATAACGTAAAGTTTTGTTTGGTGAACAAGAATTAATTACACGTTTCTTTGTTTGCCATGTATATTCAAAGAAACATCCATAAAATTTGGTGTTTGATATATTCTTCCTCGTGTCACGTTTGGTTCATATTTACTTCTGGCTTATTTGTAATTCGTATTTACGTAGCTGTTGAAGGGGCGACCCTTAGACCCGATTTTACTCTCTTCCATTTGACGACAACTGCTGGAGTTTTAGTGAACGTGTGCACGCACGTTTTTCAGTTCCTGACGTCACACTGCGTGTACGCAGTTTCGCTAAGACTCCTAAATCCTTCGTCAAAAGGATGCCTCAAATCGGGTGGTAAGGTTGCGGTCAGCGTGCTTCCCTTACATGCACTATGGGATCAAAAGTATCCGGACACGTCCAAAATGGTGTCATGGTGTGATTGTGTTTTTTATGGAGGGGACTTGCACTATCACGGCACAGACTTACGTTGATGTTTTAAACACCTTCTTGCTTCGCACTGTTGAAGAACAATTCCGGGATGGCGGTTGCATCTTTCAACACGATCGAGAACCTGTTTATACTGCACGGCCTCTAGGGGAGTGGTTATACGACAATAACATCCCCCTGTAAAGAACTGGCCTGCAAAGGGTCCTGACTTGAATCCTATCGAACACCTTTGAGATGTTTTGCACCACCGACTTCGTGCCAAGCCTCACCGACCTACATCGATACTTCTTCTCGGTGCAGCACACCGTGAAGAATAGGCTGCCATTCCCTAAGAAACCTTTTAGCACCTGCTTGAAAGTATGCCTGGAGTGGAAGCTGTCATCAAGGCTGAGAGTGGGCCAACACCCTATTCAATTCCAGCGTTACCGATGGAAGGTGCCACGAACTGATAAGTCATTTTCACCTACGTGTATGGATACTTTTGATCACGTAATGTACATAGATATCAGGGTACAACTCCGGGTTATTACATGTGCAATTTGTAGAGGACAGATTTTCGACAAATCGTCGGGTTTCCTCAGAGATCTCCCGTTCCCCCTACCCTTTATTCTACCACCTTCTCGATCTTCATTCTCATCACTCACTCCATCGAATTACATTATTCATTACATCTCACCATGCATCCCATTCCGAGGAGTTCGTATTTTAACCATGTTGAAGTTTTGAATTCGGAACAACGGTCATTATGTGTCTCTCCGAAGTTAATTCCATGACCTTAAATTGAAATATAATGTTGGATTGATTTCTTGACAAACTTATTATTCACTGCTCTTCCATGATGACCGTCTGACACGGATTTTTGCCGCTGTTGGAGGAAAATTTCATTTTATGGCCTCTACTATACTTGCCTGATGATCCCCCAACATATCGCCGAAACGTGTGTGCAACCCGAAAAATAAAGTAAGTTGTGCAAGTAAATTGTAAAATGAATTGGGACTCCTGACCTTTAATACTGTTTGACAATGGATTGACTTCTGTTTGTCGATTAGAATTTCCTCGTTGTGTCGAGAGCTTCCTCTCGAAGCACGCCAGCTCTGAAACTTACCTTGCGGCAGCGATCGTCACGGCATTGCAGGTCGTGGTCGGGCCAGCCGTCCAGATCGCTGTCGGGGCCGCACACGCGCCCATCGCCGGCCCAGCCCGTCTTGCACTGCAACCAAGTGTACGCGACCGATACATTAGTGAATAAATTTAAATAGAAAATACGAGTATGTATTTTAAGACCATCTAGTGATGCCTGTTACATTATTATTGACCAGAGGGCCATGGATGTCGGTAAAAAAGGTAAACGTATCCCTGTGCAATTGCACACAGGCCGAGTTGTGGAACACAGGGAGGGCGAAGGTAGAGCTCCACCTACTCGGCCCAAGGAGGAGGGGGTGTGGAGAGCACAACGCTCCAGTTGCCTTTACCCCCAGGAAAGATCCTGGTACTCACTTGGAAAGGAGGTTGAGTTGACCTCAGACCGGCCCTGAGTGGAAATCACCAAATACAAATACCCACCAGCACCCAAACACTATACTTCGATTTTTTAAAAGTGTCCTGTTAAGATCACGCACGAAAAAGGGAGAGGATGAGCAGACTCTAATAGGGAGCTGCAACGAGCTAGTGTAGTGACGTTGCAGCTCTCCATTGGAGTCAGCCTTATCTCTCCCTTTTTCGTGCGTGACCATGATAAGTCAATTTAAAAAATTCGAAGTATAAGCCCCCATGGAAGTGGGCAATAACCGGAAAAAAGAAGGAAGAGAGGCATCTTCTAACCCTAACATACTCGAACCTGCAATGCTAAAAATTTGACATTTTAGGGTCGGATTATTCTGACTTTAGCCTGCTGGCGATGTTCCCAGGCCTGGGCCCTGTTTTATTTAAAATCTACGCCTGGAGGTAAGAGAGGCATGTGGCGAGTATGTCGAATTCCTACCATCATATCTAGCTTTTCTGGCCTGGCTGAGCTCTCTTTCTTCACACAGCTATAGAAACTGAGACGATTTGAACCCGCCCCGACCGGGAATCGAACTCGTGACCGCCTTACAGAAAGGATTTCACGCTGTGCATAAGACACCTGAGGATCTAAAATATAAAATAAATGAACAAATAAAAATAAAAAGCGGGAAAAAAACTGAATCGAATCCCTTGATTACGTCTGAATTCCGGGCTTCACGGCCCACAAATTGCCTGGGGCATTGTCGGAATCACTGTATCCCCACCACACTCTCCCTTTCTCTCTCCACTTGGCTCGATTCATGAAAAATGTACTTTGTGGTTGGTAGTATCATGTCACTTTGAATTACGTTATTGATTGGTGTGTTTGTTACATCCGTTTAAGACACGAAAGTATCGCGAGCCGTCAGCTGATCATAAAAATATACAATCGAATGTCAATCTATTTATCCTGACGTTGAGAATGCAATAAACTTTTTTATATTCTGAGAAGGAAATAACTTTTAATTTTGTATAACAACTATCAGGTAGAGATTTATCAATACAAGTTGACGTCTTTACCAAAGTTCTTAGAGTGATTTAAAAGTTGTTGTGATTTATTAACACAAGTTGGTCAACTAGTTGTCACACGAATATAACAATTTATATCTAATTCTCCAAGAAGATTACACGGAAATTAAAATTTTGCAGGAAACACTGAGAGCATATAAGATGCCAAACCAAAATTCCCAACACCCTCAGCCCATGTAGGGAATGGAATAATGGATAAATATCCATGTTATCTCACATTAAAAGAGAGAAACAAACAGACAAGAAAACAAAAAAACTTCCAATGTTGTAGAGATATTATTATAAGGGAGGCTGCTTTGATAGGTACTGCTTGGCTACTGCTGGCAGTATAACTACATGTTATTCCCTGGTGCTTAATTAATTAATACGCTCGTTTGTAGTTGTCTCACTTGTAAATGCTTCCGACAGACAACTTCTTGCAACGCCATCCTCCAACATGACCGTTTCGTTTTCTGACCTGCCACACTGGTGCTTTCTTAGGCCAACCTCTCCATACCAGGGAGCTCTTTGGTCTCAGCGCGTAGCCCTGTGTGTTGGGGTGTGGGAGTGCGGGTGAGGGCGTGTGCCACTTGCCTTGCACTCGTAGCGGTTGCCGCGCAGCACGCAGCCGGCGTTCTCGTCGCAGCGGGTGCGGCCGTCGGGGCAGATGCCGTGGCCCTGGCGGCAGCCCACCGTCTGGTTGCCCACGAAGCCCGGCAGGCAGGAGCCGCACACGTGGCCGCCCTGCGCACACCGACACATGAATGCACTCACTGCACACACGCAGCGCCGCGCTGGTTGCTTTTGAACCGACGTTATCATCTGAGTGTTAAAAGATACGTCTTCTATTTGAAAAAAATTGTCTTAATTAAAAAGCCGCTGCGGATCCATGAGGAGCTAAATGAGGGAAATTTCCCGCCTAAAATTATTCTCTAACTATTAATTTTAACTTGTCACGATACTTTCAAGCAAAACTATTTTTCGGATAATGATTAAAACGAATAAAGTCATAATGCAGCTTGAGTTCAGTGAGCCTGCGATATTTCAGAAAATATGAAATGAGACTTTCGATCACAACATTTTTAATTTCCACTCCCAAAATGTGTCTCTGGATCTGCCCCTGATGAAAGCGATAGCTTAGGGGTTTAAGTTCCAGTTTGCAATATCTGTTTGGGTTAATTAAATATTTTGGTTTCTGGTTGTAATTACAAAACGTTTTGGTTCCGGTTTTGGAGTTGTACTAAACAGTTTTCCTGTTATTAAAACATAATACGCTGAGTAAATATTATTGGCTATATCTATTAATATTTTTCACACTACAGATTCCTACAAATATTTCCACAGCTAGAACCGAAAATATCAGGTGTCTATAGACTTCTTGAACCTTTTTTAATATAAAAATAATGAAGGAATATTAAAATAAGCATTCATATTTACGCCATCCCTTAATACAAATTGTACTATTTTTTACGTAACAGTAAAAAAATTACATTAAAACATCAGTTGTCTCAAGGTAAATACAGTTTGCTAAGTTTTCTTGAGCCCTTCTCGCCAGATGCGAGAGGAGTGGGGAGGGATTGTTATTTCTACGAAATGATTATTATATCAAATTTTCAGGTCGTATTCGACGCAAAATAGTTTCTCTTTCACACGAGCGAACATTTCTGGTAATCATATTTTGTCAGCAACGCCCATTGCTATCATTAATCGCTAATTAAACGAAGGGGGGAGTTGAAGGGGTTGCGGTGGAGGCGCGTACCTCGACGTTGGTGCAGACGGAGTTGGGCGCGCAGCCGCCGTTGCGGCCGTCGTTGCACTCGTCCACGTCGTAGCAGCGCTGGCGGTGCAAGCGCGCGAATTCCAGCCCCACGCCCTGCAGCCCGCCGCTGCCCGTGTAGCCCGACGGGCACGACTCGCAGCGGAAGCCCGGCGCCATGTTGGTGCAGCGCACCACCGGGTCGCACGGCTCCGCCAGGTCGCACTGCAAACAGCACAGTGATCGCACTCAGGGGCGCCCAGAGGAGACAAGAGCATGTGGTAGTACATCTACAAGGGCCTCTTATTACAAATTAACCCCGCCATACGTAAATAGAAATCGCCTATGCAAGCAAGAGAAATAACCTATAGCGTTCAATTTGAATTACAAGTAAATCCACTTTTTTATGTTTTGAAAGAAAAAATCGGGGCCTCGATTAAGTCTGGGCGTAGCACAAGTCGCACTAGCTGCCCCTCTCTGTGGGCGCCCCGGTTGATACTTTTATAAGAGCATCGATGTATTTAACGTCGATTTATTGAAGCCAATGTTCTTTTAACATTGATATTTTGTGCTCTTATGTTTTTTCGATATTTTATGAATAAAAATGTATAATGAATAAAAAAGTACGATAATAAAACTAAAATAAATTGCAATAATTTTCAATTGCTCATACTTCAGGCAAAAGCGGTCAAGGGTGAAAACCACGTTAATTACATTTTTTTAATAAGCTTTATGTCTCTCCAAAATCAAACAAAATACTTATACATGTCAGTAGTCTGATTAGAAGTTACTTTTAAGTTTCTCCTCATATTGTATTTGACGTAATCCTTATCTGCCTGAAATAGTATGTAAAAAAATTCATTACACCATTTTATAATTTATAAAAAATTATATTTTTTCCTCAACATTTTGAAATGCACATGGCGGCACATTTTAGGATGAGATGGAAAACAACATGTAGTTCTAATTGTATTTCTGCAAATTTTAAGGTGAAAGTTTGAACTTTCTCCAGATTTGTATAGCGATCCCATACGGATAGGCTAGGCAGATAAAGAGTTAATATAATGTCCATACTCTTGAAATACAATTTTTTGTCGAACAAGGATCAATAAATATATTTATAAATTGTCATCATTCCCGTCACCTTCTTATACGCAATAATGCTCGGAGAATATATTCCGCAGTCGTTAAGAAATCCAAATTGTGAACATGTTACTGAGTAACAATGCATTTAAATTATAATTTTTTAACGAATTGGAAAAGAGCAAATTTAATTAAGAGAATGCATTGTTACTCAGTAACATGGTCACAATTTGGATTTCTTTACGACTGCGTAATATATTCCCCGAGCGTACTTGCGTTCAACATGGTGACGGGAATGGTGACAATTATATATACATGCAAGGAGCGATAATTACACACAAAAACTGTTAAAGGATTGGTTGTCTCGGTAACTTAGTGGTTTCAGCAGCTGGACGTAAACCAGAAGGTCTAGGTTCGAATCCCGGTCGGGGCAACCAATTCTTTGGAATATATAATAGTATAGAAAAGGCTGTGGTAGGCAGTGCGGGCATAGGCGCGGCTCACCTCGTCGAGGTCGTGGTCAGGCGGGCCGTTGCGGTGTAGCCCGCGGGCAGCCGCGCACCGGTAGTAGGGCGGGCGGTCGGAGTCGTGGCAGTCGACGCCCGGGAAGCAGGGCCGCAGGTCGCAGCCGCCGCGCGGCTTGCACGTCTGCCCGTCGCCCGTGTAGCCCGCGGGGCACGGCCCGCAGCGGTAGCCCTCCACCGTGTCGTAGCATTGCACCCCTGCGCCCACGCGCACACACCGCTACTTTAGACCTGCTTCTAAAGTCGCTTCCGAACGCCGCGGCTCGTAGCAGAGCAATGGTTTGAATGCAAATCTTCCCGCGTGCGGCGGGTTTGCGGCGTTCGGCGCCGACACTCACTACGCAAAGCGCAGGAGGGCATATTCGCCACCGCTAGCAGAACACAGCTTTAAATGGGAGCCTTCCCACTGTGCCGCCGGTCGCTGCGTTTTACCTGCTGCGGTCTCTGTTCGACGTCGCCGGAGGGTCGGCGGAACCTACCCTGCAGAACCCACCCGTTTCCACGGCGGACGGCGGTCCTGCGGTGGCGTGCAGCGGTGGCGGCGTAGGAAGAGCCTTGCTGCTTATAGGAAGCACGCCGCTGTGGCGATATGTGAAGACCCCCTTCCGACGGGGACAAAGCCGTGCGCTTCCGATAAGCGGCAAGGCTCTTCCTACGGGGAAGAGCCGTTGGCCCCATGGTTCGGCGCGAGTAGGTTTTGCCGACCCTTCGGCGACGATGAATAAAGAAATGTGTCGGGTAGAACGCTGCGGCAAGTGTTCCAGTGGGAAGATCTGCATTTAAAGCAATGCTCTGCTACCAGCCGCGCTGTACGTCAGCGCGCTGCTGTGTCTACGTGTGAAGGGACCAAGGGTCATTGCATCTTGCACCCAGGCTCAGTTCAGCTAAGATCCAGTGTTGCCGCTGACACTGCAGCGACGGTGGTCGGGAGGTTCTCGAGTTCGTATCCCGACAGTGGCCAACTTTCCACCCTTGCTGCATAGGTAGGTCGAGTTCAGCCGTTACCTGGAGGAGAATTCTAGCAGCCGGCTGCTCTCATCTGGTTTGTGCCATCAACATCAGGCAAATGCCGGAGTAGTTCTTAACAAACAGGCCACTGACAGCGCGCGATCCTTCGTTTTTCGTTCAATCCTCTCCCCTCTCTCTCACTCACACAGTCACACACATGCACACTTCCACTTGCATGCACTTCACTACCACTACACATGTCGGGAGACCAGTCAAGAGCTTCGAGCGTGTCTCAACAAGGGCAGTGTTCCTCTGGGGGAGATACCCAGAGGTAGATTCCCACCGCAAGCCGACGTGTAGGTCGCCATTGGATCTCATAATTCAGTGTAAAGGAATCATCGCCACCTCCCGGAATAAACATTTACTACTAACGGGACTAGTGACCGTAGCTGCTTAGTGGCCGGAATCATCAATCAATCAACCCTTCTCATTCATTGGTCTCCTCAGTACCAACGTCGTTTTGGGCACTCCTGAGATGATTGGTTTTAGATGATCGAGTCTGACAATATTAGTATTACCGTAAAAAGCATTTAAATAACTGGTTTGCAGCCAACAGTATCCTCTAAGCTGCAAACGGCCCAAACAGGTATTCACTTATCTGTAGCATCGTGGACGTTCATTATATAACTGCACACTGGACGATCTACTTAATCAGGAATCAGTTAAAAATAACATTTACCTGTTTTCGTTCATCCCGTTCATTCGAAGTATTTTAACGTCATGGGGAGTTTTAGATTTTTCAGTACATGATTTCCGTGACGATATAGCAATGGTTGAATAAGTCTGGGGAAATTGATGCACTCCAAGAAAACCTGCTATGAACCTGCATTATCTACCTGCATTGCACATGGATCGATAAGGATTGAACCCTGAGTTTGAAGGTGAGTGGTCTGACCTCAACCAACGAACGGAGCAAAGTGGCTGGTGAGAGTACTGCCATCAAACATTGATATCTACTGACATGATAAATTAAAATGGGCGATTTTCCCAATGACCACGGGATGGCAATAGGAAGGAAGAATCGAATCGTGCGTTGCCCATGGCCCTTCCTAGAAAGACATCTCCGGCGTACACTTGAAATTGTTCGAAGTCACAGAGATCACATATAACAGCAGTTGCGATACGTGGGAAAACATGTTTAAAATGTATAGTTTAATATATCTTTATTATACTCTTATTTTAAACAGGAGATTTTTTTCGTTTTGTGCCACAGGTTTTTGTGGAAGGATTTAAAAAAAATTACTTACAGTAGTTTCTTATTTTTGTGTACATAAAGTAGTCTGATAGGTGTGACGCCAAAGCTCCAACTTGAAAAGCAAGCGTGGGATACAACTAGATATACACTTATCTATACAACACTGTATCTGTAATTAATGAATTATTTGTCGTTTAATAATAATTAACCTATGCTCTTAATGACGATGCAGTAAATTGTTTAATTTATTGCAATAAGTAAAAAGAAATCAGTGCATCTTGTGAAAAAAATACGTTATTTAGAAAATTCAATATAAATAAATTGTCCCCGGAGGCTCATGACTAGCGGGCTAGCTTTCCAGTTCGCGTCCCAGAGTAAGATTCCCAGGCGGGGTAAAAATTAAAACTGTCCCTTTTCACTGTCATACCCCAGTTCATATAAGTGGTTGATAATAAGAAAGATTTTCGTAGGTACAGAAAGCCAAATAAGCGTAAGGGGTTGGGAGCTGCTTATCAGTGGTCTCCCGTGCCCATGGCCGCCAGGCTGGAACGCCATGACATGGCCTCGCCATAATCTGATTAGACTCTAGTGTCATAAGTAAATAATAAATAAGTATATAAATGCATTGCACGAATGGATTAGTGATTCCGGGTGGGTCAATTGCTAAGGTCAATAGTTCTGTAATTGTAGTGTGTTTCTTTATCGCAGGAGGGGGCGGTGATATTCCTCCATTAAATGGCGGGATCCGGCGCTGGCCCACGTCAGCTTGCGGGGATTTCGACCTAGCTATGTAGCCTGCGTCGAAAATCTTGCCACCGTCGGGACTCGAACCCAAAGGCATCCCAGGTGTCCCGGTCAGACGTACTGCAGTGACATCACTTGATATAATGTCATCCCAGGTTAATAATAAGTAGGGGGCGGATTTTGATGCCTTAAAGCCCGAAAATTTTGCCAAAAATAATCAATAAAATGCTCTTAAAATGCTTTAAAAATGACCTAAAAGCAAAGAAAAATTACGTAGAAATGTGATCAAAACCACTTCTGATGAACAACTGGAGTCTTCGTAATGTAATCAAGTCTTTTTTCTTTTGTGCATGTGAACTCAGGTTGCAAACTTTTGGTTTGGAATGTCCTTTAAAAGAAAATCTCTGCCATTATTTAACGATAAATCGAACGAACTGACCATGGCACCTATAAGCGTTACAAGAACTTTAGATTACATAGTATTCTCAACGGCTGACATTACAATATACGAAGAAATTGAATAGGCTACTTAGGAATTCTGTGGTGAACGTGTGTTGCACCTCATAAATATTATTTGAAGGAAGTACCATTAAAATGATATTAAAATCGATTAAATCAGCGAAAATGATTTACAAATGATATGAGAAGATACAAAATTACTTATTAGTCGAAATCGACGAAAAATGCAAAACAAAAATGACACAAAAGTAGGTCATTTCATTTAACATAACATAAAATGAATTTCTATACTAAACGGCATTGTTCTGAAGTGAAAAGAAAAAAATTACATTTCATTAAAATGCCCCCCTTAATGATAAGTAAATAATAATAAAAAATGAAGCCATCAGCGGCAACGCCTTGGGTTGCGCGAGCGGGCTGCTCACCGGCGTGGCAGGGCCGCTGGTCGCAGGTGATGCCGGGGCGGCAGGAGCGGCCGTCGCCCACGTAGCCCGACGGGCAGCGGCCGCAGCGGACGCCCTCGGCCGTCTCGTGGCACGCCACGCCCGGGAAGCACGGCGGCGGGTCGGCGCTGCAGCCCTCGCGCACCGCTGCGGCACGCGCGTGCGCACGTACGCTCACCCCCTTGCACGCGTCTCTCGAATCCAGGCTCCTCTCGGGTTCCGGGTGCTCGTACTCACGCTCACGCGCCGTGAAGGCGGGGGTTAAGCAACTCGGGACACCGAGAGTTCCTGGATCTATGGTCGTCTGGGAATCCCGAATACTATACTCCGATTCAATAGTACTGGCTTTTGACGTTTAATCAGCTGGACGAGATTATCCAATTGGGTGCTTCGTTACGACGAAATTTTTGGTATTGAATCTCCAGATTGGATAACCGCGTCCCAGCTGACCTCAAAACTCACTGTATTTAAATCGGAGAATATCGGCGCCGAGGCCCTGGCCGATAGGAACAAAAGGCAATGACACGCCAGAAAAAACATTATGCTGAAAGAGATTTACTCTATATTCGATTCCTATTAAGGCTTGAAACATTGTTGCAAAAAATTTGTCATATTAAATGTTACAAAATGATCTGTAGCATTCACAGGGGTCGAAAATAATCACTATTTGTCAATGAACAATTAGAAGGAACTCACATGTAACCGAGACTACTGCATTTATAAATGTGACATTTGCTTCTGGTATATACGCAACATCTTATTCACAGACATATGGCAGGTCACATTCTGAAGATTACATGCCGAATCTGCTGAACATCTGTGCATACGGAGTTGCCCAAAAATCAGGGGCAAATGCCACGTGTACAAATGTACGTGTCTAAGTTACATGCAATTTCCCCCTACTTGTTCATTGGCAAAGACTGATTATTTTCGTCCCCTCTACGTGCTCTAGTTTGCAACATTTATTCTGAGACTTCTGTACTTCATCTCTCAGACCGCACATTTCTAATTTCGAACTTTACTTTTCACCATGAAACAAGTCAAAAGATGGAGCCTATACTACCGATGTGTGACTATCATGTGGCCCCATACTATTTCCATCTCCCAGTATTGCAAGTAGTAAGGGGCCACGTGAACAACCACACTCTTGATTGAAATAGAACTAGAGAGAATATAAGTTATAGTTAAAATGATGGGACATTATTTTTAATGCTGACTCTTATGAGAATGATTTTTTGTTTTGAGAACCATTAAGTACCAAAAGGTAACTACAAGGTTTGAAGCCCTAAGATAATGTTCGATGGCATGCATTATGTATAAATATTACATCAAATTCAAAATCTCTATGATCATCCCTCTTAGACTCATCTCCAAGACTATTTTATAAATACTCAGAAGAAATAAATTCTTGGTCACTCACGCTTTCTGCAATATTCTTGACATTGTTCCACCAGACCTCGCAGGTACTGCATCTCCGCTCTCTGGAACAATAAAGCAATTATTAATATGTAATTATATTACTTGTTATTGGTATTGTCGGATCTCTAGAAAATTATACAAATTGGAACAAAATTGATCAAACGAACAATATTTCTAATATAGGATCATTTACTCACGGAAAGAGATTTCGCGTACCTGGCAAATACCAATGCAGAGTGAGTTTTATTCCAATTAAGGGCGAATGTCACATGTTTATCTTCTTTATATGAAATTTCCTATCACAGGCTCATTGGCAAAAAGTGATCATCATGTACACATTCTAAATGTACTAAATGTTTGTGACATTTGTTTTGATAACGCTGTTTAGGAAATATCCGCCATTTCCTTCCATCTCACATCAGTGATCTCCCTTGATTAGATCTCCTATGCGCACGAGAAATTGTAACATTTATTCTGATAACCGTGTTCAGAAAATTTTTGTCAACTCCTTCCGTCTCAAATCTGTGTCCACCGTTTATGGCGTTAAGTTTGCCATGCAAGAGCGCAGCTTGACTTCATACCTGACTCTCAACCTCCTCCCGCAACTTCTCCACCAGCTCCGACAGTTTCCCAACGAGCTTCCGCAACTGAGCAGCTGCAACACAAACGCGAAGGGATATATAACAAACGAGGCAGGAAAAACAGGAAGGAACTTCATCGAGATTAAAGGGAGAAAACTAGTGAACCCGAGGAGAAAACGAGTGAACCCAGAGAGTTCACAGTGAACTCAGTATGTTGGGAAGAGTAGGAGGGGCAGTTGCAAAAGTCGCAAAGCTTCATTTTCTGGCAGAGCCTATACTTACTCTCTTCGCAGCAATGATTGATGGGGATGTCACCTGCAACACCAAAGGTTCTGTTAATGAGCAGTCTTTTGTGAGGGATTAATGAAATTCTAATGGATTGAAAATATAATTTAACATGCATTGATTTGTTTATTCCAACGTCGTCAGGCGTTTAAAAAAAATCCGTATATATTTTCATAAACGTTAGAATCTTACTGCATATGAATAAAAAAATGTAACTTGATCAGTAATATTTAAAGAAAGTTACCTGAAAAGTTGTCTGATGTATATTAATTTATATTTTATGTGCCGGACGTATAACATTGTCGTTTTGAATCTTTGAGAAAGATATCCTCTTGTACCTCACAATGAAAACAAAGAGATATAATCTTCATAAATGCATGTGTAAAGTAGTGGCGTGGCATATGTTTGCAATACCCTGAACTATTGGGCTTTTTTAATATATTTAATACTCAGCATTTTGCCTGTTAGATGATCAAGTGTCTAAAATGTAATGTATAATTCTTACGAAATCTAAACCTTACATGTGCGAATGTGAGAAAAAATGTGGATCACTTCACTTCCGAAAGGAGTTGATGTCCCTTGCTGGAAAAATTATAATTTGTCCCTCACAGATACGTATTTATTTATACTGGGTTTATAAAGACCGTACCTAAATGAAGATGTTTCATGTTCATCGATTATTTTCCTCTTGACTTTTAACGCCCCATCCCGTATTGTAGAAAATTTCTAATTCACACTCTGCAGACACTTGTACGAGGACCGGAGACTCTTGTAAGAGCCAAATTCGCAGCCGACACTAAAGTAATCAAATAATCCTTAAGTAGTAAGTGATTGCTTAATATAAATGTCATTTATAGAGGACCGTATTTCATAGACGTTCCTAATGATCATGGAATTAGTGATATGAGTGCTCCATCAGAAGACGTTAGAACACGTATTTTGGATTATGTTTCGTGGTCAAATGGCCATTAAATGTACACTTATATATACTTAATTATACACGTAAATATTTCTCAGGCAAAGAGCGTGCTAATTGGTTGTGCGCTTTCGAGATTGTTCGTAATTGTACACATCCAAAGGATTATCCATGTTTGTGGTACACGCCTACTTTTTCGTAGCAATAACCTTGTGATAAATTTAGAATTCAAAATATTCTCAATATTCTGCGGGATTGCCATCATTTTCCCTATTAGATATGGGAAGTAATAACGTAACCTAAACCGATAAATAAGAGGCCGAATTTTACACATTCGGGAAAGCGGGTGATCTCTACAAATTAGAAATATATGATCAGTACAATAGGTACATGGGTGGTCACTCTTTGCTCACTCATATGAGGATAAGAGCTGAAAGTGAATGAGATTCGATCACTTAAGTAACACTTGTTTGTATGAGCCCTACGAATTTGGCCCCCCAAGAGCGTGCCCCTGCTCAGGTGTGGACCACGCAGCTCCGCCTCCGCCTCCGCCGTGCGCGTGAATGGCGGCGTGTGGCAACCTGTCCGAAAGCGACGGCGTGGGCTCAGCCAAAAGGCGGGCGCGCGGCGGGCGGCCGCCTTCCTACTCACTCCTGCGGATGACCTCGTTGTTTTCGTTGCCGGGCGTGGCGTCCGCAGTCAGGCGCGCGCCCGGGGCCCGTGCGGCGCGGGCGGCGGCGGCGGCGGCGGCGCGCCGGGGCGGCTCGCCTCCCCGCGCCGCGCCCGCGCCCCGTCGCCCGCCCGCGCGTTCGCCGCCGCCGGCGCAGCTCCAGCGCCGACGCCGGGCAGTTGTTGCGTTGAGAGCCTGCTCGCGGCCTCGCCGTGCCCGTCCACCTCCAGGTCGTAGCGCCGCTCGCGGTGCTGCAAGCGAAAATATAGTACGTTACGCAACTAGGTTCACTGGCGTATTTTCAGTTGGTACCACTCAGGGAAATACTAATGGTATCACCCCTCACATATAAATAAAAAATATCCATTACTGAATAGTTTATACATTATTTAATAAAAATATAAGTATATTTACACATGGCGTGTAGTTATAATATATTAAAAACTGTATGTACTTCAGAATAATGAAAATATCATTTAAAAAATACAATTCCAACTATAAAATTTTCTGTTGTCACCCCTAAAATAGTGTTAACCGGGGCCGACCGCCCCACCCTGCCACCCTCCAATGACGCCACTGACTAGTTTATAATGTTAAGCTTCATTGCGTCAGTTCGTGTTTTGAAAACGAGCGTCGTTACTAGCAAGAATGCAATCACATAACAATATAAATGAGTTGCATACGTTATATTTTGCATTACAGCATTATAAATTTTGTAAAGAATCAAAGTTAATTTTTATAAACAATTTTTTTGACGTCATGGACATCCGTGCGAAAAAAGTGTTTCGGCTGTTCGGTTCACCTCTCCATGATTCGCTCGCTGCGATTGGCGCGTTGCCGCATTTATTTGTGCCATAAACGGCTAATGCGTCATAATCTATGCCATAAACTGCCATTTTATGAATTATTTCATGGCGCCAAATATTTCTTGTATAACGTTGGCATACAAAATAGTCATGATATATGTATTGTAAAACATTTTACTAAAATATGAGAGTGGAAAATTATCAGACGAGGCCGTTTGGTGGAGTTTGATAACCAATCAAGAATTGTAATAAGATATTGCGACACGAATATCATACAACGTTTTATCTATTTATTAAAATTCCAATGTTCCATAATTTTCATTTACATTTAGCAATTCATCGGCTAAATGTCACTGATGTTGATAAAAGTCCTATAATTTATTTTCACTTATTTACAGTCTTTTGCTTATGTTCTAGCTAAAAATCTAAATTCTAACTTAATAGTGGCTCATGAAACACTTGTGTTATAATAACTTTTATTATGACATTAATATCAGATTCATCAATTTTGACTTGAAACGAAGTGAATAAAAGGCTATTGACACTGCTGGGGCACACCGCCAACTATAGCCACGAATAACCAATCGTAGAATAGAATTGGGAATGATGGAATATGAGAATGATCATGGGGATATAGGAATTGTGATCCTTACGTAGTGAGTATTCACGGCTGTAATACGGAGGGTTATTCGCGATGCGCTAGCATTGCAAGAGAACCACTCCACACTTTCCATGTTAGTAGTGGCAGCGGCGTCAAAATGAGAAAAGCGGTCGATATATCCCTGTTTGACAGACGTCAGATTGTCACGGCGCTTTGGTGTATCAGCGTATCTGGAACGGTTTGTCTGGGTGCTCTCGTGTCGCTGTTCTGAGTTCACATCAAAAGTGGTTCAAGGATGGGGAAACAACGACTAGTCGTTCATTCACATGACTATGGATCATTTATGTGACAAATAATGGGAGACTGTCACGCGTTTCTCGACGTGTCCGCAGAGTGACAGTTCGAGAAAGCGCATATGAATGATAGTCTGGAGGGATTTCTTAGTGTATCGTCCATCGAACATACGTGCCGATAGTACAGCTGAAAATCCAGCCTCCCTCCAGTAGGTCTAATGGCTACTGGGTGTACATTAAGTAGACAGCGTATATTAATTAACGTCTTACGAGGCATTCAAAAAAAAACCTACACAAAATGTTGTTTTTAAATGTGTTTGTTTGTTTTGCGTCATTTTGCGTGACAGAATGGCAATTTTAGAATAAAGATTTTCTTAAAAACAGCTCCAATTGTTTCTTTGAACTTAAATGTGTAGTGCTAAATGCATTGAATAACATGATGTGAACGCTGGTCATACAAGTAACGCTAACTCGCGCAGCAAACGGAACCGCGTAACCGCGTAATCCTTATGTCATGGCCTCCTGAAGTTTTATTAATTTATGACTAGTTTCAACTTGTCAACGTTCAGTTGTGTGAATGTTATGTGTGTGCTGATGTCATTGTGAAGGAATGGAGCAAGAAACAAACATTAAATTTTGCTGAAAATTGGGGAAATCGGCCAAGATCCCAATTTTTTGCAAATCATCGTTACTGGAGATAAAACTTGCTGCCTACAGTATGATCTGGAGACAAAACGCCAGAGTGATGAGTGGACAAGCTCCCCCAAAAAGTCGACCGATAAAAGTGCGTCTCCTAATCGAAAACAAAAACGATGCTCATCCTCTTTTTTGATAGCTGGGATATCATTTAACGAGAATTACTTCGACAAGAGTCCACTGTGACTCGGCCATTCTACAAAGACGTCCTGAATGGGATTCTGCGAAGAATGCGGTGTGTGAGATCCGATTTGCTAGACAGTGGCAATTGGTGTCTCTAGCACGACAACGCACCGTCTCACACGTCCATCATTGTGCAGCAATTTTTGTGAAGAATACGGGGAGTTAACATCAAACACACTCTATATTCTCCAGATTTGCCCCCTCCCGACAATTTTTTCCCCCAAAGTTGGAATTGAAGGTGGAGGTGGGAGCGGTATGAGTCGGTAGAGGCAATCGAAACAGCAGTGACAACAGAACTAAATAGTGCTGAAAAAGAGACATTTCAGACGGGGTTTGAGGACCTGAACAGTCGTTGCTAGCATTGTATCGAATTACAGGGAGACTAGGTAGAAGCTTGATACCAAATGTACTTATATCCTCTGTGTTATATTGTCTACAGTCCTGGAACTTGAATACGATATGTATATCATCGCATAGAACAGTTCGAACTATAGATAAATCGGGCAAGAAGCTGTCACGCGAAAAAATGTGTAATCGGATAGTGATAGAAATAACATAAGAAACAATTCTGGAAATTGTAAGGATTTGTGTTTTACAGTTATTTGTAGACGGTTATGAAGCGAAACTTCTTCAGTCGTATTAACAATTTATAACATTTGAAAAATACCGAAGAGAAAAAGCCAGTAACTGTGAAGATACTATGTAATGACCTACAAAGACAAGAAAACATAATTCATCAAACAAATTTTATCTTGTTCGCAGAGTTTGTTTTCTTTTCTAACGCAACCAGTTTCGTTCCTATTCAGAGATAATTCGAAGTTACGGGCCCAACGTCTACCGGAAACCGTAGTTTCGTAGGCTCCTTGGCATGCACAATGTTGTTGTTTGTTTGGATGGGGGAGCATTGTCGTTTAGTACTCGTCGCTATTGCACACCATGGAATGCTTGTTTTAGGGTTGAACTCGTCGAAAAATCGTCAATGTCTATTAAAATATACGTAAGGCTTTTATTCAACCCTTTCGCCATTGTTCTGTTATCCTAAACGTATTAAAGATTCCGGTTTAAATACATAATATCACTCTTCACCCTTTTTTGTGATAACTACAGATTCAAATTTATTCAACGTAGTCACTGGGCCATCTGCTACTCAAAAGAAAATGTCCAGAATTGGAATTCTCATACCCTAATATTTGGAGGAACAACTGATTGGAATGCGTCGGTCATTCCAAGGAAGTTGATGTATTCTACCTTCTCTGTATTAATCTTCGGTTTGTCTTCGTTACACTGGGCTTAATACACGATAGATTATATTACACTGCATTTAAAAATAATTTCCTGCGACGATTTCTATGTAGAATATGTTTTGAGGAGCGAATATGTACACATGAAGTCAGTACCTACAGTGTCTTAAGACTACTGTTAACGGGTTACAGGAAGAGTTAAAGAGATTAAAAGTTGAAAATGCTTCCTATATTACCAAATATCTTAGAAATATTTCACTTCTTGCTCTCAGACCTTTATTTCTTAGTCCAAATGTATACGTATGCATCCTCATTTATCGTTTGGTGCAAGCTTTTTTGGAATTGCGGAGCATGAGCCTTTTTGAATGGATGATGAAGTCTTGTCCTAAGATCGAATGTGGAAACCAAGCAGAGAACAAACAAATAGCATTAGTGGTGATTCTTGGTTCAGATCCTGTTCCAACTGGAAATAAGTAATGGAAACAGTCTACCATAAAACACTTCTATCCCGTGTGTTACTTTCTACTACCTAACGTTTCTACTAAGATCGGCTTGAAACTCTTTGAGAATTGCCGAGCATAAATGATGTAGAAATTTCGAACGCTTTCGCCCGGTCCAACCGGTTTATCTTTTGAGACCAATTTGGAAATTAGTCTATAAACGTTTATGAATAATGCGTATTAGGTCGGAAGATGAATTATCTCCTTCTTACATGTTTGGCCTTTGAATATATTATATCTTGCAGCCTTATCTCTCACAGGTTTTTAGCATGAGAACCAGAACACAGTAGTTGCAACAGTAGTAGTCACACAGTAGTACTCAAATGTATCCAGAATTGACTGAGGTATGAGAAGGCCGGAGAGAAGTAGGTCGTGAGGGCTCATGTTCTCTGCAGAGAGGCCTGCGACCGGAGATACGATAATCGCAAAAAATAGTTACTTTAGTAAGATTCTGGGCTCACGGATTTAGTAGCTCCCTTAAATTGAATTCTAAGGCCAGATACTAGTAACAATAGTAAGATTCTGCTTCAAAAATGTATCTCTCATTATCGTCTAGTTATGAAGTGCAAAGTATTATTTTCTTTTGTAGAGTGAAGGGGAATATTGAGGAACCCGTTATTGAATGGCAATTCAAAATAAAGTAAGGGGGATGTTAACCTAAAAGTATCTGTTTTTGCGTGAGAACACAGAGCCTTTCCTTTCATATCAGATATAGGAGCACAAATGGAAAATATTTTGCCATCTTCCGTACTCCCTTGACCTAATGACTTACTTCTTTTCCTCAATCTCAGAACTCATCTAGGAATTTGGAACTTTCGTAATGGTTACGAGGTTAACCCTTCAGCCGTGACGCTGGGCCTGTAAGACCCACAAGGTTCGTGATATGGTTCCAGTGGATCGAGTTTCGCAGATAAGACATTCAGCTTCTCAG